CTTTTTGCCTAGCGAGGCACAGGGGTTACTCCTGGCTCTGCACTCAGGAGTTATTCCTGGCAGTGCTCAGGGGACCATATGGGATGCTGAGAATCGAACCCGGGTCGGCCGCGTGCAAGGCAAACACCCTACCTGCTGTGCTATCCTTCCAGCTCCTCTTTTGAGTCTCTGAAGCAAGGCTGATGATGAGTTTGTATGGCTGAGCCAGGGGTGGTTTGGGGGACATGGTGTGGCAGAGAGGGGGAAGGAAGGAAGCAGATAATCTTGAAGTCCAGGTACAGAATGAAGATCGGCGTGTATTCAGGGAGAGAAAACCCCGGAAGGAAGGACTCTTTGGGGCAGCGAGGGACGTATTTGTCTTCCCTGGGCGCAGTCATTGGTTGAAGTCTCTTCCAGATCCGCCCGCCACCCCCCCACCCACAGTAATGGGGGGGGGGGGGGTTCTGTTCTGTTTCTCTCTCCCACTTCACTTCTGAATGTCACAAGGTCACAGTCTCTCCCCTTGTGTCTCTCTGTGCCGTAGAGCGAACCCAGCGTCAGCCGGTACAGTGCTTAGTACTCTCCTCTCTTCCCTTCTGTCCTGGGCTCCGTGAAGCCTCTTCACCTCCCTCCTGCCGTGGCTCAGCCTCCCTCGCTCCACACGAGCCCCGGTGGGAGAGTTTTCTGAGAACTGCCACTTCGAGAATGACCAAAGTCCTCGATGCCTTGTGCCCGCCTTTCTGGCAGCCTGTATTCTTGCCTGCTTTAGTGAGTCTCCGGCTACAGCTGTTAGTAGAGATCCCAGTTAAGCCCCAAATGTAGTTACACTTTTTGGTTTATTTTTGGGTCGCACCCGGCGGTGCTTGGGATTACTACTGGCTCTGCACTCAGGAATCGCTCCTTGGTGGGGCTCAGGGGAACGTACGGGATGCCGGGATTGAGCCCGGGTTGGCTGCGTGCGAGGCAGGTGCCTTCCCCACTGTCCTACCGCTCTGGCCCCTAGTTACAGGTTGGTGCAGGGTCTGATTCAGCAGGTGTGCAGCTTCTCCTCGTACTTCTCCCTTCCCCCTTGCTTCCCACTCTTCCTTCCTCATCCCTGTCTTTTTCAGTGTTGCCCAATCGCCGTCCCCTAAGACAGTGGTCGTATTCCATCATTTCTGTGTCTTGAGCCACCGCTTTTTGATTTCCAATTCCTCGGGGGTAGTATTTTCAGTGGTAGCACTGTCCTCCCGTTGATCGTCGATTTGCTCGAGCGGGCCCAGTAACGTCTCCATTGGAGACTTTGTTGTTACTGTGTCTGGCATATCGAATACTCTCGGTAGCTTGCCGGGCTCTCCGAGAGGGGCGGAGGAATCGAACTCGGGTTGGCCATGTTGGCTGTGTGCAAGGCAAACGCCCTACCGCTATTTCCTCAGCATTGTGACAGTTTTCTGTTAATATGCAAATGTTTCCATGAATGAATCGACCTTTGGAGAACATTTTTAACTCTATGAGAGATGATTCTTGAACATAGAGACTAACCTGAGATTAGGAACCCACGCACTGTCCACGCTGGGATCAGGTTTGGATCTGAGGGGACTCGGAGAGGATCCTCTGAATACTCTCCGGCTGAAGTGGAGCAGCCACCCCTGGCCTCGCCCACGCCACGGACTCTGCCCTGGAGGGTCACGGCAGCTCTGCGTCACGCAGGTCTTGGGTGCTGTTGTCCAGCGCACGTCCCGTGCCCGCTTGGCCTCCCACTGAGCTTGGTGTCTTGGGTTTTCAGACATCGCGGCTCATGGCTGCTGCACACTTAGTGGACTCCTGTGTGTGTTCATGTAGGATTGCTGCTGGTGTCACTTTGTTGCTGTATCTGAAACTGATGCTCTCTTCAAAGGGCACCTGCGGGTGCTGTGCTGACTCTTGTCTGCAGGAGTCAGGGAGCACTGGGCAGCTCTCAGAGCCCACCTGGCTGGGCGGGTGACACCGGAATTCTAAAGTGCAGTAACACAGGCCTGCTCCAAGCCTCCTTCGGAACTCCTTTCTGGGCAAGTTGTTTTTCTTTATGATCTTCATGTTGTCCGTTAACTTTACGCTTTCTCTACTGGTGTCAGGGGCTCGCCAAAAATTCAAAGCTGGTTTCCATGTCAGGCCCAACATGTTGGCTTTGACAGTTCTACAAGGCTCTGTCTTTCCACAAGAATTGATTTTGTGTTTATAGAATCATAAATATCTTACCTGAGGGTGTAATTTTAAAATATAACTCATCCTTCATAAATTGAGAACAGTTTGTGAAGATGTTCAGGAATTTACGGACTTGAGGACCTTTGGTTCACAAACAAGTGACAGTCTTCACACAGAGAGTTTATTAGCTACGTCACTGGTGAGGAGGTTCGAGTAGCTCACAGACTGGAGGTCCAGAGAGGGCCCCAGAGCTGGGGTGGGACCGGCTGGCCAGAAACACACACACACACACACACACACACACACACACACACGCACCCGCACGCTGCGATGGCCATCATCTCGCTGACTCCTGCTGGAGGAGCTTCTGTTCCGGAGGCCCGGATGGCACTGCCTCCGGAAGGGCCTGCACAACCTTCTTGCTGTGGCACTCACCAAGAGCAGAGGTTGAGTGGGCCCAGGGGAGCCCCATGGAGATGAGGAGACTCGCTGAAGGGAGGCGGCTGCTTTGTGCTGCACTTGTGCTCAGAGCTCTCGAGTTGTGCCCTTTTGTGCTTTGCTGTCAGATTCGAAGCATTTTATTGGAAGTCAGCCATGGTCTAGGCATCTTCCAATAACGCTCTTTCTTTTTTTTAAATTTTAGTTCTAGAAAGTTGTTCACAGTAATTGTTCCATTTAATATTGCAACACCAACCCCTCTACCATTACACCTGCCCACCACATTTCGAGCGTTCCCATCCCAACCCCCAAAGCAGGAACTGAATCATTTATTTTGTATTGCTTGTCATGATTAATCCGCTAAAAGTGATCCCCAAAAGCTTCCTTAGAGGAAAGTGTGTGAAGATTGTCGTATTGCTCCCTAGAGCCAGTAAGCCCTTGTATAAGGGATGTATTAGATGTTGCGTGGCCGCGTGTGCACTCCAGGAATTCTGAAATTTTCAGTAATACGGTTATACTGCTGAGATGGTTTTTTTTTAACTGGATGGTGACTTTGGGGTTCTGAGGCATCTCTGCGGTGTGTCGTTCTGTGTCGCTCTATTCCGAGAGCTTTATCTGTGCATCTCCAGATCGTGGTTGTTAAGGAACTTATATGGCGCCAAGGCACCTACATGCTCTTGAGGGATGAAGAAAGTGAGTTAGAGGGTAACTCGCCGATGATTTTTCATTAATATGCTTGCAGAATTAAAGTAAATTGAAAATAGAATCTTGACTCTTCCATTCATACCTTATTTCCCCAAAAATGCCTCTGAAGTCTGAGGAAGCTCATCTGTATCTCTGCAGGGTTTGTGGGCTTATGTTAAATAGAAATACTGTGTGCTACTTAGTCAGGGCTTTCCTTTATTTTCCTGGTAGACTTTCAGGTTTGGGAAGGTGACATTTTATCTGAACATAAGGGAAGTGGCTTACTGACCGACCCAGGGGCGCACGCTCCAGTAGACTCGTAGATTGGTCTAAACTTCCCCCCACCCCCCTAATTGTCCTGCTCACGGTGAACTAGCCAAGAGCAGCTGCTCTCTCTTCATTGGGACTCCAATTGACCCTGATAATGTGCTCCAAAGTTACATCACTTTGGAAGTAGTTTGTAATTGCCATGTTTTGGGAAAACAATTCTAAATAAAGTTTTTTGTTATTTTCATGCCTAGGGCAGGTAATAGCTATATGCTTTATAGAACCCATACCTTTTTTTAAAAAAAAAACTTTAATTTTTTTTTTTTAATAATGCCCAGCATTTTATTGGACATGTTACAGGAGAGGTTTAGTCAGAGATCACAAGCTTCTGTTATTGCGGGAAGCTCTGCCTTTTTCAAGAGGTTGCTGTGTTGGGGGGAAAAAGGACTGCTCATTTCACAGCGTGTGATAGTAAAGAACTGGGAGTGATACAGGAATTAAGAAGATGCTGAATAATTTGCTCTCTTGCGAGTTTTCTTCTATTATGTAGGTGATGAAGTTTGGGGCCTCGCCTGGTCAGTAGTCGGGCACCCATATGTGGTTCTGGGGATTAAACTCGGCTCTGTCATGTGCGAGGGAAGCACTCCCCCCCCCCCCCCCATACTGTTCCTCTGACCCTTCTTGCAGGTTTTCTTATGTCTACTGATTGCAAATTTAGAAAGTATTTTGATGAGGAAAAAACCCAGCTAAGGTGCCGATAGGAAAAATTGGACTGGGCCAGAGATAGGGAGGACAGTGGGTCGGGCACTTGGTTGGCAGGCAGCCACCTCGGGTTCGATCCCTGGCATCCCATAATGGTCCCCTGAGCACCATGTGGGTCACTGCTAGCTGCATTCTGGGGTTGCTTCAAGGGGTTGCCAGGCACGTGACCTACCACCCGGGCCGTGTCCCTGGCTCTTTCAGCTGCCTTTTCTCCACTTTAAATGAGGCCAGATAGCTGCTGAGACCTTTCCTTTCTCCTCACTCACTCCCCCTCTCGATGTTTCGAGGCCGGGCCCCCAGTCCCCTGTGTGTGGTGGCGGCTCCCGTGTCGGGCCGGGCTTGGTTCTGGCTCTGCTTGCTGCAGGTCTCAGTGAGCCGCAGCGCTTACACACTCTTCTCAGGGGCACAGAAGGGCTGTGCCCTGCCTGGCCGCGTTAGATCTGCAGTTGTGTAGCTGTCAGGGGCTGGTGGCCCCGTGGAGCTCTGTGCCTGGTGAGGGAGCTTTCGGTGCGTGGGATCCGGGGCTCAGGCCTGTCGACAGATGCGTGGATCGCCGAGCCTTTTCCTGCTCCTCTGTGCAGGTCTTCACGGGAGCTCTTCACATCTGGATAAAAATGGGTGTTTTAGATACTTTTTCTCATCCTTGTGTAATTTTTCGTTTGTTGTTGATTCATAAGTAGTTTAAAGTCTTCCGCTTTATTCCGTAGATGACAGTGTCTCTGCGGCAAGCACCTCTGATGTGCAGGATCGCCTGTCAGCTCTTGAGTTACGAGTTCAGCAACAAGAAGATGAAATCACTGTGCTGAAGTCAGCTCTGGCCGATGTTCTGAGACGTCTTGCGATCACGGAAGACCATGTCACCTCAATGAGGAAGTCAGTGCCAAGCAAAGGTGACCGAGGGTGCAGGGAAGGTGCGGGGGCTTGACGTCTACAGGTTTCCTTACCTGACTGGTGACAGCGCGTCTTACAGTGCTGGCGCAGGTGGGAATCGAACAGCAAAGTCTCTCTTGGATCACCTCTGATTTTCTCTTTTGGGGGGTCACACTCAGCATTGCTCAGGGCTTAAACCTGCCTCTGCTCTCTGGAATTACTCCTGGCAGTGCTCCAGGACCCCATGGGATGCTGGGAATAGAACCCAGGCTGGGCGCATGCAAGGCAAGCACTTTACCCTCCGTACTATTGCTTCAGCCTTCTGATTTCTTATTTCCAAGAAATTCTGGAAGTTTATCATTTCTTAGTTTAAATTGGGATTTTTGTCTCATAGTTATGCCCATTTTATGTTATGCTGCTCTGTGTATTTAGTACTATACGAGCTGTCTAGCGACTGTTTTTTGACCAACTTTTCTTGTAATTCTTTGCGTTGTCCTGCACATGACAGATAGGCAGTCAGGTGTGCCTGTAAGATCAGTCTTCTTCTTGTTACAGAAATGACAACAAAAGTTTGTCATTCAGATAGCTTTATTCTAAGCTTGCTGTGCTTGGTAGTGAGAGAACCCTGAAGATTTTCCTCTAAGTGCTGAAATTTCACTGCCAGCCAAAATACAGTGGAACAAGTTTCCCATCTGATAGGTACATGGACCCTGAGCCTTCTGACTTTGTATTTTAAAGCCTGCTATAGCGATAGCACAGTGAGGAGGACTCTTGCCTTGCACTTGATGTCTGCAGTGTTTCTTTACCTTACTGTGTAAAAGTTGTGTGTCTTACCAGTGCTGTTACAGTTGGGAATCCCTGGCCAGTCTAGCTTCAATTTCCAGTGTCCGGTACGGTCCCCTGAGTCAGCCAGGAGTGATCCCTGTGCACAGAGCCAGGAATAAACTTGGGTGTGGCCCAAAAACCAGCCAACCAAACAAATCCTTTTAGAGAAAGGAATACAGTGTTGGATTACTATCGACATTATATCTAAAAGCTTATTTTAAGGACCAGAGAGGTACTGCAGTGGATAGAACTTTTGCCTTAAATGCAGCTGACCTGGGTTTGATCCTCGGCACCACTTACAGTCCCCTGAGCACAGCTGGCCGCGACACAACAAAAACAAATCTTTCAGGCCAGAGCAGTTGTACAGCCAGCAGGGCGCCTGCTTTGCATGCAGCTCTGCCTAGGTTCAGTCCCCAGCGTCTCGTGTGCTCTCTGAGCTCTTCCAGGAGTGATCCCTGAGACAGAGGCAGGAATCAGTCTGGGCACTGCTGGGTGTGGAAAACCAACTCCCCCGCCCCCCCCCCCCCCCGCAATGTCTTTCATATTATTTTAAGAAACATTTAAACTTTTACTGTGCTGAAAGCAGCTCAGTGAGAAAGACGTGGACAGTGTCTCCTCACTTTCTATTTACTAATACATTTCGTTCAAGAAATGCAGGGCCAGGAGTGTGGCGAAGTGGCAGAACACACACGTCTTGTCGCCGCGAGGCCCTGGGTGGGACCAGGCACTGGCAGATTGTCCCTAAGTGCCAGTGGTGGCATCCCATTACACAATAGTTTACAGGAAAAATTGGACGATGTTTTAAGATGCAGAACCATCGGCATGATCAAAGCTGCTGCTGTTCCCTGGTTTGTGCTGAGTCGGCCTTTATACTCCTCTTCTACTTGTCTTTATTATTCTTAATGTAGGGACCAGAAAGGTCCCTTGCCTTGCACCGGGGTTCGAGCCTCAGCATCCTAGAAGGTCGGTCCCCTGAACTCTACCAGGAGAGAGCCCTGAGCTCTGCTAGGTGTGGCCCCCAAACAAAAGTGAATTCGGGGTGAGTTTTGTTCGAGGCTCTTCTCAGAGGGAACCACTCAGAATCACATCCAGCCGCTCCACAGTGATTCTCTAACCACAGACCCGGGTCCCTCTCCTTGGCTTTTTCTGAGTGAGTTTACTCTGCTGTTCTCACAGAATTGCTGATGGGAGACATTCTGCAGGTGGTCACTGGTGTGTCGCTCTGTTATCTGGTTACTGAGGCACTTGCTGTTAAAGAAATGGGTTGATGGAGGTATGACTTTGTAGTAATTTGGGGAAATACTGTTTTTTGAAATGAGCATAATTTAAACTTGTTAAGAAATAATTGCTCGAAGCACCAAGAGATAGCACGGTGTGTGTTTTCAAAAGTCTGGCAGCGCTCTCCCTCCCTCTCTCCTGCCGCCCATGTTCGGTAGCTTCACGTCGCTTCCCCCACCCCAGGGAGGCCGCTGGCGATGGGCAGGTGAAGGAAGGAACGAGGGCCAGGCTGGTCGGTATCAATTGTAGTTTATTCCGATCTTCACTCCCCTTCTGCTTCTCTGTCTCATGCCTGAGCCCCTCTCACCTCTGACTCTGAGTCTGAGCCCGAGCCTGAGCCTCCGCCTGCCTCCCGTGCCTCCTGACAGCCCTTACAGTCTTAGTTCATAGAGCAATCTCGTAGGGTGGTGACACAAAGGTGGGTTGAACGTTAACAAATCAGCAAAGAGAGTAAGGCCACTTCTTGAGATTAACTCAGGGATAAAAATCTCATCTAAAGTGATTATTCCAGATTACTAGGAGATCCATTCAAGGGTGGGATCCCAACAAGGGTGTGTTCTTTCCTCAGCTAGTAATCTGCTTAACTAGTTGTAGTAAATCTACTTCCCATATTTCTAGCAATGTCAGTCTGTATGAGCACAGTAAGAGATAAAAACTTATAGTTTGGTTCTTCCTGAGGACATCTCATTATATATTCCACAGTCCTCAGGCCAGGTTAGTCTTCCTAGCCCCAGCAGGGTCCTAGTCTCGTCGTTACTTACTTTTAGATCATGACAGCATTTGTCCATGATCATGCCCTCAACTTACAGTTGAGTATCGTGGCGCTTTGGTCTGGCCCATTTTGATGCCAGGGTAGCTCACAGCTTGCCCTGGATCCATTTAGTCCTTCATTCGGACCCTGCTTTTGGGGTGCTAGGAACTAAAGGCAACTGAGTCAAAAAAGCAGATGCCCAGGAGTAAAGATTATTCAGAGTCAATCAACTCCCACGTTACAATATTAACTGTCTTCCTGTGTCCATACAGAAAGGACATTGCTTTAAGGCAAACTATGCAAAAGACATAACTTACAATACAAGTTCAGTGTCCTTAGAAGGATCTGATCTTACAAGCTAACAGAATCTGATTAGGGAGAAAAGGTGATTAGCTGACTGGGGAGGAGAGCACAGAGAAGAGTTTACAGATAAATACAGAGGAATGGGAGTGACTTCCTGACACAGGAATGGTCGTCTCAGTGCTGACCGCTGCAGCCAGAACGGTCCTTGGGCGGCGTCACTCCAGTGCTTGCTTCCTGCTCGTTCAACCATGACTCGCTCACACCACTTCACAAATGTCTCAAGATTTTTACAACTCAGGATTATCTATTGTCCTGCTGTTCTGGCCTTCAGAATTTATGAGGATGCCATGTCCCCAAACTGAGCACGTCCCGCTCTGGCACTCAGTACCAAGGGTTCTTCCTTGTTCCCATCCTGCTCCTGCTACAGCCTCAAGTGCTTACCCCCTGCTCCACACGGACCCTTCCCGATCCCAGCTGCACTTCCGGCATCAACCCTGTTGGTGGTCTGGCCGTTTCTAGATGGTTTCCATGGCTGCGCTCCTGCTTTCCTTTCCCCTCTCTCCCATGGAGAATTCTGCTCCCCTTATCACATCAGAGAGCTTTTTATCCCACCCGCACCTGCATTCCCCAAGCTACACGCATACACACCCCAGGGTGCTGGTCTGTCCTCATCCTGGGGTCGGAACCCAGGAGTTCACGGTCTGTCTCCCTTCTGCGTGGTTGTCTCTTGCTTCCTTTTAAGACTTGGCATTTCTCGAGGACGCCTTTCTTGAGTTTTGTCCCTGATCGTAGCAATCTTTCCTTTGTACTCTTAACGTATACTCAGGACACCTCTTCATTGCCAGTGGGATTCTCTTACAGACTCCCCCGTGTCTGTGGCTGCCTTTGTGCTTTTCTGCAAACAGGGCTGGGATTCTGATAAGCCTGAGGAAATGCTGGATGGGTAGACAGATGAGGAAGGAACACAGGTGAATTTAGCGGCAGAGATGACTAGAGGTGGCCAGCGAGAAGGATCATCCATCCCGGTGTGAAAGTTTGGAGGGTCTCAGAGTCTTGGAGTTCCGAGTAAAACGAAGCCAGCCGAGTTTGAGGTTGGGAGTGGCAGGAAATAAGCCTACACTTAGTGAAAGGTTGTTTCCTGCCTTGCTTCGGAGTTCACACCCTACCCACTGTGCTATCGCTCCAGCCCGATAGCACAGCGGTAGGGCTAGGGTGTTTGCCTTGCACGCAGCCAACTCGGCCGACCCGAGTTCGATTCCTCTGCCCCTCTCGGAGAGCCCGGCAAGCTACCGAGAGTATCTCGCCCGCACGGCAGCGCCCGGCAAGCTCCCCGTGACGTATTCGATATGCCAGACACAGTAACAACGAAGTCTCCAATGGAGACGTTACTGGGCCCGCTCGAGCAAATCGATGAACAACAGGAGGACAGTGACAGTGACATTGCTTCGAAGTTTAGTTTTTATCCTGAGGGCCCTGGAGAATTATTTAAAGATTTTTAAGCTGGGGCATAACTGGTAGATCCACAGTCATCCATTAATTCTAAAATGCCTGTATGTCTTGTATCTTAATGTCTGAAATTGCTTTGTAATCTGCCTAACATAGTTCTCCTGGGTAACACTTCTTCCAATGGCATGCAAAATAAAGGATGATGCCTGTTACAGTTGATGGCATATTAGATGCAAAGAGAATTTGCGTGTTTTAAAAAGATCATTCTGGGGCAGTACAATCCAGAAGAGAAATGAAGTAGTAGCGACAAGGATAAAATTCCTTAGACATACAGTGGAGTTCATGCCCGATTCAATCAGCTAATCAGTGGCTGAAGAAATAGCAGTACTCCTACCAAAAAAAATTCCTTAGACATACAGATAGTAAATCTTTCTTTGTGCCAAGCACCTAGATCCATAGAAGTCTGGGGACAGCTAAAGAAATCATGGTGCCCTGCTAGAATGAGGGAGCATCATGAAGAGCGACCAGCCTGTGGAGGAAATAAGGGATACGGGCACGCGACCGTGATCTGGTGACAAGGAAAGCCTCGAAGAATGGGGTTGGCGTGAAAGCTTGAACAGCGAGGATGAGGAGGGCCAGACACTCTCGGGCACGAAGATTCACATCCCTGTTTGGATACCAGCCCTCCATTGGTCCCGCTCCCCCGAGGCAGGTGTGCCCCAGCCCCACCCCTCTTAAAAGAGGGTGAGTCTCTGGTGAAGCAGGTTCCAGAGCAAATGCAGAAGCCCTGGCATAGATAGCAAAGATAGAAAGATACCAAATTTTGGAATTTTGCTCATAGGTCTTCCGAAACAGAAAACAAACCTACCTTGTTTCTCATAACACAAAAGTTAAGTTAGAAAGAATCCTCAGAGTAAAGAATAAAACTAAACATTTTATAAGGAGTAAGAAAAGCTGAACATTTTGTAAGAGCTAAGTGTGGAAGAGAGAACTCGGACTTCTCTCCAGAGGGGGAAAAGCCAGCAGCTGTTTTTAACTGGCAAATGAGAACAGTTAGGAAAGAAATTAACTACATTGAAATTTTTTTCTTACTGTTTGAAAAAGACAGTTTTGAAAATAAGAAAGGCAAACTACAAAACTGCGAAAAATATTTGCAAAACATAGGTTTGTCGGATCACCCTGGAGTGATAGTACAGCAGTAGGGCGTTTGCCTTGCTTGCAGCGAGCCCGACCGAGCCGGGTTCGATTCCTTTGCCCCTCTCGGAGAGCCCGGCAAGCTACTGAGAGTATCTCACCCACACGGCAGAGCCTGGCAAGCTCCCCATGACGTATTCGATATGCCAAACACAGTAACAACAAGCCTCAAAATGGAGACATCACTGGGCCCGCTCGAGCAAATGGATGCACACCAGGAGGACAGTGTTTGTTTGTTTAGGTTTGTCCAAAAAAAATTTTTTTTGCCTTTTTGGGTCACACCTGACAATGCTCGGGGGACCATATGGGATGCTGTGAACTGAACCTGGTTTGGCCGCATGCAAGGCAAACGCCCTAATTACTGTGCTGTAACTCCAGGATCAAAAATATTTTAAATGTCGGGGCTAGAGCAATAGCACAGCGGGTAGGGCGTTTACCTTGCATGTGGCCGACCCGGGTTTGATTCCCAGCATCCCACATGGTCCCCCAAGCACCACCAGGAGTGATTCCTGAGTGCAGAGCCAGGAGTAACCCCTGAGCATCGCCAGGTGTGACTCAAAAAGAAAAAAAAAAGATTTGAACAGGTACATATCCAAAGTAGTTACATTGAATAAGTAAATGAAAAGATATTTAACACCATTACACATTAAGGAAAGCAACATATAATCACAGTGATATGTTCACTGGTCTGGTTAAAATGAGGGGGCTGGAGCAATAGCACAGCGGGTAGGGCGTTTGCCTTGCACGCGGCCGACCCAGGTTCGATTCCCAACATCCCATATGGTCCCCTGAGCACCACCAGGGGTAATTCCTGAGTGCAGAGCCAGGAGGAACCCCTGTGTATTGCCAGGCATGACCCAAAAAGCAATAAATAAATAAAATAAAGTGAAAAGGACTGGCTTTCTAGAAAGTTTGCAAGGTAATGGGGCAACTGGAGGTTATAGTCTATTGGTGTAATGATAATGTCACATTGAAGAATAACTTGGCAGTTTTCTGCCAAGACAGATATTCACTTGCCAGATTACCCAGACATTCAACTCTGAGAAAGTGTGTGCCCACACCAACATTTGTACACTTCGGATATTGTGAAAGCTGGAACAACTCAACTGTCGACAGAGGAATGGGTCGAAATCATGTTACTGCATATTTATATTATGTATTATATTGGACTATTCCCAATGTGGAGTAGTCTGCTGCCTTCTACAACGAACCTTAAAACAATTGTGCTGAATGAAGAAAGTCAGGCAAAAAAGAAAGACTACGTGATTGATTTGTGTAAGATTCTAGAAAACGCAGACCTCAATTAGTGATGGGCTAGACAGGTCATTGTTTAAGTATAAGAATGGAGGGACTGGAGCGATAGCACAGCAGGTAGGGCGTCTGCCTTGCACACAGCTGACCTGGGTTCGATTCCCAGCATCCCATATGGTCCCCTGAGCACCGCCAGGAGTAATTCCTGAGTGCAGAGTCAGGAGTAACCGCTGAGCATCGCCAGGTGTGACTCAAAAAGAAAAAAAAAAGGGTGGAGAGATGCATTGTAGAAGGACAGCGGGAAACCTTTAGGGTCATGGCTTACGTCAGAACTTCAGTACAGAGAGATTGTATACAGGTTCCCTCTCTGACACCACATGGAGCCCGGGGCATTGCCCGGTATCGCCGTGACCTGGAAGCACCTGAGCACCACTGGGGTGGCCCTGGGGGTCCCCAGCACCACAGGCCTGTGTTGCACTGCGTCCTTGGCACTGGCTTTGGCTGCCTGCCCTAGCTACCCAAGACAGCCAGGAGTCCCCCCGGCCCACGCCTCCCACCGGCTGTGCACAAGTGCAGTTACTAGCTTAATGAAACCAGGGGTGTGGAAGATCCATAGAAGCAGCACAGGACTTGCTCACTCCTCTGATGTCGACAGAGAGGAAACAGGAATCAAAGCTGTTTCCTGCTCTGGCGTAGACAAGAGTGGGCTGGGATAACTTGTATTATGAGGGAGGTGGATTGTGGAGTTACCGGGTTTGCATCATTGGAGGCAGAGAGGCTCACCACTGTCCAGTCGTCGGGACATACGTAAGTCCTCAGAGGGGTGCAGTGGTGGTAAGGGACCAAAGTCTTGAGTGAAACAGGAAGACCCAGCAAATGAGAGCGGACAGAAACGTAGACAACGTTGGTGTTCTAGAAACCTCAGGAGGCAGATTCCACACTGTACGCTGGTTAGTGGTTCTCAGGAAAGCAGTTAAATAGACCGTGGTCGTGCGGTAGAGACATCCTACCCTGGTTACGTTGACAGCAGTGTTCAGATGAAACTTGCACCCAGATGTTGATGGCAGTACTGTTCACAGTAGTCAGAAGGGGGAATAAACCCAGGTTCCCAGCCAGCGGAATAGCAGATAAAGAAAGAGATGTATATTCATACAGTGGAATGGTATTCAGCCACGAAATGGAATGAGGTACTCCCTCATGATAGCTCGCGGGTCAGTCTTGAGACTTGTGCGGGGAAGGAAAAGAAGCAAAGACAAACGTGTGTTCCTTGCCCCATACCGTCAGAGTGGGCAGCTCCATCAGGAGGGCAGGGGGTGTAGGGGCACAGCTGGCAGGAACTGTGGGCAGCGGCCAGTGTGGAGCTGGCGAGTGGCGAGGGTCGTACGGCACTGAGCACATCCTGATGCCTTTGTGTCCTTCCTCCTGGTTGGAGTGACACGTTTCATGCTTTTAATTCCTTACCCGGCTTCAGAGAGAGGCCAGCAGAGAAAGCAAAAAGCCTGAGCGCTGGATGTGATAGCAGTCATCGCAGCACAGGGGAGGGTGCGATTGAGCCCTTCTTGTTTGAGAATTTTCCCAGGAAGCTCGGGGAAATAAGATAGTTGGTCTCCCCGTTTCTCTCTCCGGATATATTTGGTCCAGGTAGGGTCTAGAAATCTCTGTGTTGGGGGAGCATTTTAGATCTTTAAAATACAAATGGGCCCTAGCAGCTATTTTTGGTCCAACATTCAGCATCATACCATCCTGTGTGGAATTCTGGGGCACTGAATAGTTTTTGATGCCTAAAAGATTCTTAATTTTTCGTTTTTATGGAAAGAAGCAAACAGGTCGGCCAGATGCAAGACTTCAGATGGACACATGAGAAACTTGAGTACCAGAATTCCAAGCTCCTTGGTGTGTGTGTCTCTTCCTGACACACTGGCATCCATCGGGCGTTTCTTCCCACCCCACCACTGCGGTCACAGTTGCTTCACACACTGACACTTGATTTGTATGGAATATTTAGGATTCCTAGGCTTCCTAATTCATGGCTTTACAACAACCTGTGTGACTGCTGAACATCGCTGAGGTGGGGGCTGTGGGTTTCCTTGATGCCGACTAGGGTGTATGCCTGATCTGCTCTCTGGGGAGCCCCCGACTCTGGCCCCACCCGCCCGTCCTCTGGTTCTGCTTTGTTGAGCTGGAATCTCAGGACAGTACTTCTGGGAACAGGGGGCTCCCTGGGTCTAGAGCTGCTTAATCGCCGTCTGTGAGGACCAGCTTGACATCAGTCTGTTTTTTCTTTCAACCCCATTAGGTCCGCCAGGCCTTCGAGAAGCTATTTCCATGTCCTGTATAACCAACGGAAGTAGTGGAGCAAACAGAAAACCAAGTCATACGAGCTCTGTCTCTGTTGCAAAAAAAGAAACGCTCTCATCTGCTGCTAAAAGGTATCCACGTGAGGAAGGGGAGAAGCTGACACCCAGAATTGTCTCGGTGTGGTCCCTGGGGTCGGGAAAGAGCGTCACAGCTGGGCGCAGCTCCGTTGGCCTCTCTGAGCGACGCCAGTTCAGGCTGTCGGGAGCGCCTCGCTCTCCCAGAACACTGGTCTCACTCTGACCTGGGCTTGTTCTTGTAACGAGCACTGTTGAACGCAGGTTTAATATCCTTAAATACATGTGATGATACAGGTGACGTTTTGGTAGCATGGATAGAGCCTTTAAAAAGAAGAAATAGAATCTTCAGTATATATTTATATTAGTGACAAATCAGACTGTTACAGATTTTGTTCTTTATAGCTGTGAAGTTAAGGCTTTTAATTCAGAGTATTAGAGTTCTGTGTTGACAGTACATATTGTAGTTTCAGTGGATTAAAGGATTAGTTTCTGTATGTTCTTTGATCAGTAATTTAGTCTATTTTTAATAAAATTGCTTACAGATTTTCTCTGCTTTTGTGTAATTCCTAGCAAATTATTCCATGTAGAATTTGGAGAGACCAGAAGAGATCAACTACCTAATCTTACAGCTGTTTTCTTCAAAGAATAATTGAGGAAAACCCTAAGTAATGCAAAAAATCCTTCATGTACTGATGGAAAATGGTTGCCTCAATAAACTAAGGCCAGTGACTGACTTACTCATCGGTGTGGATGTATAGATGTTCACCGAACTTTGGGGTACAGGAATGATGAAGAAACGATAAGATCTTTAGGCATTTTTAAAAGAGAAAAAAAGTCTCTTCTGGAGTTCAGTGTTTGGATCATTCTCATTACAGAATATAGAAAGCATTCTCAGCTTACCTGTCCCCACAGTTTCAGAAGAAAAGGACAAATGACCAGAAAACAAACATGCAGTCGAAAATTTTAGTACGATTTTTAGTAAGCTCCTCGTGTCCGGCCACAGTTCAGGCTTGTGTCGTTTTCTGTAGCCTCAGTTCCGGGCAGAGCCGTGTTCTCAGCAGTCCAGGGCCCCCAGACTCTGGGCGCTCGCATGCAGGCCTGCAGCTGTGCCTCTGAGTAGCCCAGCAGAAGGTTCTCCTAAGACCCTGACCCACACAGGACCGTCACCCATGCGTTTGGGAGAATGTGAAGACTGACAAGGAAGAAGTCGTCTCAGTTTCAGAGTTTTAGGAATGTACTTCTAAAAGATAGACTTAGATTTCTTAGCATCTTAGAATAAAATCGAGCACAAGCTAGCTAGTCAGGGCCCGGCAGGCCACAGGCAGCGGCTTCAGAGTGGAATTCTGTGTGAGTGTCGTCGTTAGACCATCGAGTTGTATGTGCTGTGTGTGTTTATTAAAAAGTGTCCTTGGACATACACCTCACAAATTGTGCCACTTAGAGTCAAATCCAGAAAGTGCCATTTGCTTAAGAAGCGCAGCGAGGCCAGAGAGACGGGGGCTCTGTGGCAGGAGCCCGCCCTGTGCCCGCATACGCGGTTCCAGGGAGTGGAGGCCCTGCAGGGTCGGCTCTTTCCAGACCTGAATCCCCTTTCACAGGTGCCCTCTCAGGCCGCCTACCAGTGCCATGGGCTGTATGCTTCAGGGAGCATAAAAATTTATGCCTAAATACCTTAAAGTTTTTACTTTAACATAAAATTGAAACATTTGCCATTTTTAATGAAACGTTGTCTTCCGCTTTATTTTACTATTTTTGGGGTTGGGGGCTGTACCCTCTGCTAGGGGTGCACTCCTAAACACCTTCCCTACGTTCTCTCTCTCCGACCCATAGTTCCATCTTTTAGTATCGCCTTGGGAGAAGCCCAGAGAGCTGGGCATGCACCGTTATATCGGAGCCCCGGGTTCAATCCCTGGGACCGCCTGGTCCTCTGAGCACCACTGTGAGACGCCCAAAATTCAGAACAACGCAAAAGGAATGAAACTCAAGATTAAAATCCACCTTCCCCCATTCTTAGAGTTATCCACCTACACAAAATGAAACAGAAGTTCTTTAGTAAATCATTGTGTTTTTTTTTTTTAAGAAGAACAACAGTAAATTGTTTTTTATGGAATCTTCCCAGAATGTTTACATTAGTTTTTATAGAAATTACAGTATTTTTTTTCTTCGCATGTTTGTCAGTTTGTGTGTACGTATGTGTGTGCGTGTGCGCATGTGACATTAGCTTACAAAACTAAAACAGCAAGACTGAAAGGTTTGGGGAAAAACATTTGATTCTAGGTCAGTTTCAGACTCAACTGGCTGGGGGCTGGAGCAGTAGCACAGCGGGGAGGGCGTTTGCCTTGCACGCAGCCGACCAGGTTCAATTCCCAGCATCCCATAGGGTCCCCTGAGCACTGCCAGGAGTAACTCAAAAAGGTGTGACCCAAAAAGCAAAAAAAAAAAATCAAAAAATTATAAAAACCTCAACTGGCAGCAAAAGTAGATGGAAAAAATGGGAATTGGACAGTAGTCTATAAAATATGTGCATTTAGTGTGCCTTGAGCATCGGTCAGTATATTTTACAGAGACGCTCTGTGTGTTGCTAGTGCTCTCGTTTAGGGAGATTAGTGTTCTGTTAACGGCACTCCTTCCCAATATGCCTAAGAGGCCAGTATGTTCTTAAGGGGCAGTCTTTAGAGGATAAATTACTTTAGAGTCACTGTAAATTTCTCCTTTAACAGCTTCCAGAATTTTCAAAGACGTATTTTCATTGTCGCGTGAAAGCAGCACTGATTGTGTGAACAGTGTGATAACAGGGTTTTGATTTATGTCATCATTTCTTTTATCTGTCTTTTAATTTGTTTAAATTTGTGTTGTTCCATGTTATACTTTATTTTACAGTGGTACAGACAAAAAGAAAGAAAAACCACATGGACAGAGAGAAAAAAAAGAGGAATCTCATTGTAATGATTCAAGTCCACAAACTCGAGCGCCACCTTCTCCCCAGCCCTCTTCACAGCCTCACCAAACACACAGGCAGACTCAAGAGAGCAAGAATTCTACTCCCACCAAAAGGTCTTCACTGGGCCCAAGCACAGAGCTAGGGAATGGCTGTAATGATATCTAAATTACGGGACTTGGAAAACATTGGCTGACAGTGGATTTCAAGAGAGAAGCCTGGCGGCCGCTTTCCCTTTCCGTGTTGCTGTAATTCTCTGTCTTAGCACATCAGAGAGTAAAAATGTGAGGCCATTTATTTATCAGCTAAAGCCGGGGGTGAGGGGAAAGCGAGCTGTAAAGAATCTGATGGAAGAAAGATAGACGTGACCTGCTTCAAACCTAAAAACCATCCAGAGCAGAATTTTGTCTCTGAGTTCTGCGTGGCACGCGCAGGTTTCTGTCATGGACCAGGCTGCCGTGTGTCACTGTCCTCACCGCATTTGGGATCATTACAGCCTAGACCCTGCCAGGGCCCCCCCCACAGCGGCTCTCGGCCGTCCCTGCTCCTCCACTGCAGTTTGGGTGTGGGGAGGATGAGTTCTTGCTGGAGTAGAGAAAGGAATCCCTTCCGCCTGGTCTTCCCTGTGCGAAAGGCTCACTTGAGGGCTTCTCTCCGTGTCTGTGGCGATCCTGATTTTGAAGTTAGGAGAGGCAGCTCGGAGAAACACTCTTAACAGTGGGTGAGCCTCCTTGGGGAGCTGACCCCGCCCGCACAGCCGCACCCGGCTCGTTGTCCGCTCTTGCCATCCGCTGAGTCCAGCGTGCCTGCTCTAGCAATGCGGGCTCAGACTGTCTGCGTTGGTGAGATATGTTTTATCTCTGTACTTCTCAATAGGGAATTAGGAAGCGCTCCCAGACCTGGCTAGAATTTTGAATTTTAGTAGAACAAATCGCAGCCCTTCCTGAAGTATCTTTTGACTCCCCCTCCCCCCCCCCCATTCAAATCTCTGATGGAAGTTTGGAAAAACAAAGCATCCTTCGCTTGATTGATGCATGTGTCACGTCTAACTGTGCTTTTCTGTGTGTCTCACGGATTCTTACACTTTCTCAATGGCTTGTCATTCTGCCTGGGGTTTGTAATTTACGTGGCGTTTTCCTTGGATGCAGCTTATTAATATCCTGCAACCTTGGATTCTTTGTGGCTAAAGGTTCTTTGCGGCTTTTCAGAATAACCAGTCTCGTGAAGGTTCTGATTTGACTTGGTATCTTTGTTCCAGATCTTGTTTTTTTCCAGCTTCTTTAGGTCTCCTGGAAATGTGCTTGCATTCTAAACTGCTGTCTGGATATACTATTTCAAGAGGTATTGAAGACCGGATGAGTTATAGGATGGTTGGCAATGCAGCTAAAGATCATTTATAAATTTTTAAGCATCAGTTATGAATCAGTGGAATCAGCATTGATACTGTAGCCTTGTGTGAAACCATGTTTCTTTCCAACCTGAGATACATTCCTTGAAGCATATAAGGAGTTTTACTTTTCATAACACTACTGAGACATGGTCATTGTGCCAGGTATAATTTAATTATGAGGACGTAAGTGAAATGAGCAGTCTTTAATGGCACGAAAGTGTAATTCCTGCCTATTTTAAGAAAAACATGGAAACTTAACCAAGCAGTTTTGATCGTCAGGAACAATAAATACATACAATTAAATTTTTAAAAATTTGAATAGCATCCTAGTGAATCTTCTGAATAGCAGTGAAAGTTACAAACCGGACGTGTAAGTTGCCTTGCTGGACTCCTTCACTCATCCGGGCAGGGCCTCCCACTAACACTTCTCTTCCCTCTGGATCAGTCTGCGGACAGGTTAGCTGCTGCTTGGGGCTTTGTTTGAGCTGTCACTGCATGTCTCTGCTGTTAGCAGAATTGAGCTCTCAGAGGTGAATGTTTCTTTCAGCATTAAACGACCAGCAACGACTGAAAAGTTACATAATTCATGGGAAAATTCAGATGAGAGTCGTAATAAATTATTGAAGGCTGTTCCAACATCAAAATTAATATCTAAAATTATAAAAAACACAGACAAGTAAGTATAATCCATCCTTAGTTTTCTCTGAAAAGAAATAATTATTTCACTACCATGTTTGTAACTAAAGTTATATCTACATGATGTAAATCATTTAAAAGAACTGACAGTATAATTTTTTACCTTCTGTTACTTTCTGTGTTCTAAAGTTTGTTTTTGCTAGAGCTCCTCATCTCAAATAATAAATACTTTATATTTTTCATGTAGGCGATCTTCGTAGGTGGACTATTCATTGTTTTCAAATATAAATATAAATATCTGTAAGAACCAGTAAGAAATGTAAAAAAATACCAGTACCTGAATTTCACTTTGAGAGATTTATCTGGAGTGTGTCCTAGATATTGAAACTCTCAGAATTTATTTATGTAATGCTAAGGGTCAGCCAAATTGTAAAATAAATGTCTTTGAATTTCTTTCGCAGGCACAAAGATGTCATCGTCAACCAAGGTAAGTTAAAAATATTTTATTTTTCTACATCAGTTAAATCTTTTCAAATTGATAATAATTCTTTTTAAAGTATACTGAGGTACACTCAGTAGTAATCATAAAAGAAAAGTGTATTTGTATAGTTTTTGTGCTCAATTTTTATTGTAAGATATATCATTTTTGTCTTAACCAGCAAAAATGTCAACCCGTGAAAAAAACAACCAAGGTAAGAATAAACTACACAGTTGGTTGCCTTCAAAATTAATTTCCTCATGACTCGTGGATCTCTTACTTGACTTTTTCTAATTCCACTCCCCGACCTTTCCTCTTAATGTAAAATAGATGGTCATTTGAACCAGGGCACCCATCTAGTTTTCTATAAATTTGTCTTATTTCTATGAGATTGGATGGTTCAAGTTCAACTCTATAAATAAACGCAGCTTACAAAGAAGAATAGCACTGGGGCTGGAGAGGTAACAGCGGGGAGGGCGTTTGCCTTGCACGCGGCCGACCCGGGTTCGATTCCCAGCATCCCATAGGGTCCCCCAAGCACCGCCAGGGGTAATTCCTGAGTGCAGAGCCGGGAGTTACCCCTGTGCATCGCCGGGTGTGACCCAGAAAAGAGTAGTACCAAAGGTGGGGTGGCATGGAACGGGGCAGTGCAGCAGGGAGGTTCAGATCCCCGGCACCCCTTCAGGTCCCCTGAGCCAGGAGTAAGCCCTGAGCACCATGGGCGTGACCCCAAAAACAAAACACTAAAGGGACTCACTCCCCCCCCCTTTTAAGTTGTATTAGAAAAGCCATTTTAAAAATTGATTTAAAATGTCTTGCTAGTTCTATTTTATTTTATTTTTTCACCAGAAATAAAACTTTAATTTGTTACCAAGGAACATCTGAATTTTAAACAGATTCTTGGACTGGTGGTTCACACCCATCAGCCCGTTCAACGTTAGCGCCTGCCTCATCTCCAGTAGCTTTTCCAGAACTGCTGCCTTCACCGTGAAGCTCCATGAGTTTTCCCCATTCAGACTTAGGTTTCTTCAGCATTTTTGCTTTTCTAACAAAGACATCATGGAGTGGGTGGGTAAACAGGCTGGCAAGCCTTTCCTGTGTCTTTCCCAGTGCTGTCTGGAGTCAGTTTATTGGCCACCTCTTCTGAGTCGTTTGTCTGCACCTCCCGGGTCCTGCTCTCCGCCGTCGTCTTCCGAATCTGGCGAACCTGCTGATGCTGAGCCCAAGAGCTCTTCCGAATCTGGTCATTGCGCTTCCTAGTGAAACCAACACGGAATAGACGAAGCACACAACCATCGGTGGTCTTGACGTCAACGTGAGCCTCTGTCGTGGTCTGCCAGTTTTTGACCGTGGAGCGCATTTTGTCACGGGTGAAGTCCGTGCCATGGAAGTTTGTCAGGCAGTTTTGCCCTGAACATCCTCCGTAAGCAGCTTGAATTTCCTAAAAGCAACTTCGTCGTTCTGCAGGTCAGCAAGACTCACTTCAAACACACGACCCTGGAGGCCATCGGATGCAATTCTGGTTCCCTGGGTTCTGGTGACAAGCGTTTTCCCGGTGTTTCTTATATTAAACATTGCGGGGGCTTTCACGTCATGCCAGTCTTCTTAGAAAATGGATCGACCACTTTCTTCTTGACTCCCTTTTTGCCGCCTTTCATAAGGCGCTAGTTTTTGCCGACTGCCATGGTGCCGCTCTAAGAGCCTAAAGGGCGTCTTGCCAGTTTCATTGCAAAGAAGCACTCATTTCCTTCAACTCAGATCAGACTGAATACCGATGAGTCTAGCAAATCCATTACCTCTTAAAATTTCCGCGTGTAATCATGATTTCTAGATTGTTCTGACTGAAAGGATAGTAGGGTTTCTGTCAGCACCCAGTCACTGCCGAGCGGGGGTGGGTATCAGTCTGTTCGCGGCCCTGGGTGAAGGCAGGTCTTGTCTGAGAGCTCACCCCTGTGTGCCAGAGCTACTTAGACGTTTCAGGCTATTTAATACTAAACAGTTAAAATGTGATTAAGTTTTCTGTAAGAGAGTTAACTTGATTTCTGTGAGTTTTTACTTTCTTTAACTCTCCTTTACAATCAGTTTAGTTGTAATCTTAATTTAGATCATTTGTTTTTAAATAGAAATTCTAAATGAAGTCGAATGTTGCTGACATTCACTAGTTAGGTCCTAACTTTTTCTCCCTGGTAATTAAGCATAATTGATGGCTGAAACACTTTAAGGACAAAATAAACTTTTATTTATAAAGACAGTCCTTACTGTATCACAGCGCTAGTTTGAAATAGGGGCAGTGAGGCGTCTCCTGCAGGTCCAGGCCAGGACTGGCCTCACTCGCCATGAGTGCCGCCTCAGGTCTGGGGGTCAGGGCGAGTCTGACTGGGAGGGGTGGGGAAGCCCTGTAAAAATTGGGGATCCTGCCTTAAGGGGATGCTCGGTTTTGCTGGTGAGCTTAAATGTTCCGAAGTCCTTGTCTGCAGGAGCAAGGACCGTCTCCGCTCACCGTGTCCCTTGGGAGGAAGGAGCTCCAGGTTACTCTGATGAGTGGGTGGAGTGTGGATGGAACTAAGCGTGCCCCCGAAGGTGTTCCCGCTGCTGCCGGAGGGACCGCCAGGGAAGGGGAGCAGGTGGCGGCGGGGCCACTGTCTGGGGAGAGCCTCCAACTTGTAGCAGGGCTAAGGGGCTTGTCGCGAACGGGGCTGACCCCGCCCAGCGCCCTGTAGACCCTCCAGCCCCACAGATGGTGTTTCCTGAGCAGAGCCGGGAGTAGGCGCTGAGAAACTGCTTGTGGCCGAGACCCCCTCGGCCCCCACACAGCAAAGATGAACTCCTGGTCAGCAGCACACTGCGGGGAAAGGGAGGGAAGGACTGTCGTGGAAGTCGGTGCTGCTGGAACGCGACTTCAGCTGGCGGGTAGGGGACAGGCACTCAGAGTCCACGGCCCACGGACCCAGTCCAGAAGCTGCCCTGCGCTCCTCTGGGCGGCGCTCATCAGGGGCAGGCCGGGAAGAGGACAGACAGGTCTGCGTGGCTGCAGGGAGGGCGGAGCGTGTCCCGTGACTACGTTACCTGCGGGGGGCGCGTGAGGGGGGCGCTCGGGATACACGGGACGCGTGCTTTCCTAGCGTCTCGGGAGGTGTGGCCTCTGCTAGTGTGGACAGGCAGGAAGGGTGGAAGCAGACTGGCTTCTCAGACATGGATCTGGGCTCCTGTTTGTTGGCTTTGTTTGGGGGCCACTTCCAGCTGGGTAGGCCCCTCCCAGCTCAGGCCTTGGGGCTGCGCCGTCCGTGCTCAGGGGACAGTGTGGGCCGGGCTCCGGCTCGCAGAGCGTGTGCTTGCTGCTGGACCCATTCGCCCATTTCCAGACCCGTGACTGTTACGTGACTATTCTTGGCGCCACGGGTCTGAGCTTTGTCCAGAGACTTTCCACAAGGAAGTACTAACGGGAAGTACTTATGGCACTTCACGTGTACCCTGTGGAGCAGGGCTTCCTGGTGGTGTTGCTGCAGTGGTCATCCAAATCAAAAGGTGGCAAAGGCGCCCAGAATGTGAGCTGTCCAGCCTTGGGGAGCAAACGCAAACTGACCCTCTGACTGTCGTAGAGATTAGTTCACTCACGAGACACAGAACTTTGACACAGAACTTTTCAGTCATGCTTGTATTTTCACATCCATAGGCATTAATTTAAAAAGAAAAACTAGATGATACAGGTAACCAAAATTCTCTGTTTCTCAAACGTGCCACCTGAGACATTATAATTAAGAATCCATTCTGTTCGGAGATAACAAACCACAGTACTTCTTTTTAAACATTTCAAAATTTCTAAAACATTTTCATCTTAGAGAAGCGTGTGCAAAGGGGCTGGAGCAATAGTGCCGCGGGTAGGTGTTTGCCTGGCACCCCTGGGCATCACTGTGTGGAACCCAAAAAAAGCCCTCCCCCCAAAAAAAAGCATGTGTATATAATATAACCAGCACACATATGTGCCCCACCAATGTTTTTTATATCTTTATGTTCGGTTTATTTGATTTGGGGTGTTTCTACTTTTACTCGTTTCATCAGAATTTTGTATCCAGAGTTCTGTTGTTATGGCCGCACCCAGCAGTGCTCAGGGCTGACTCCTGCTGCCGCCGCTCAGCAGTCAGTTCTGGCAGGGCTTGGAGGACCATGTGGGGTGCCGGGGGCTGAACCCCAGTTGACTGCATTCAGGGCAAGCGTTCCACCATCTGTGCTGCTTTAGCCTCTAACTTCAGGGGTTTTAAAAATCGTTCTTACTCTAAGTAATTCCAACGTGCCATATTCAAAGTGGAATTCCTTCATTTCGTGCTTAAAATGACCTTTCCTAGAAACGTGAGTGGATGGTTTGGGGGGCTTGGGGGACGAGGTGAAGGGGCCCACACAGCTGTTGTCTGATCTGACTCCTGGCTCTGCACTCAAGCGAGGGTCACCCCTGGTGGGCTCAGGGGACCTGTGCGGTGTGGGGGTTGGGCTCAGCTCCGTGCAGCACTGACTCCTCTCTCTCGGGCCCCTAGGGAATGTTTGAGGTGCCACAGCTCACAGGGTAAGGCCATGCCTATCCTCAGTTCCATCTAGGCAGTTCCTGGGCCCCGAGCACTCTGGGGAGTGGCTCTGCTGTGGCTCCGTCTAGCCCCAGCGTGCTCCGGTCTTGGGGTGCCAGCACAGCTGGGCGGCCAGAGGATGAAAATGAAACGGGGTTACAGACCCCCAAGTTTCCTTCTGCACGTCGAGTCTGTCAGCCGTGCGGGGGGTGAGTGCAGAATGCGTGTATGGGGCGAACATACCCTCCTGGGATCGATTTTTTTTTTTTAAAGAATCCTTTTCAGTCGTATACTCTATAATCCATAAGCAGATTTCCAGATCTCGTATTTTCAGGTAGCTGACATAAACAAAACAGGAGAAATCCAATGGAGGTTTCAATTCCAAAACTTAGTCGCTGGTTGATTTATTACTGTGTGAGTTGAGGAGCACTTTCATAAGACTTGTCACGTCAGTGTGGTAAACTCAAGGGTTTGTCCTTTTCATCGTGCGCCTCAAGTTCCTAGCCCTGCCATGAGACTAAGAGTCTGCCAGACTGCCCAACCTCTACAACACTGCCTCGAGAACAGCGAAAACTAAGGCAGTTTCCTAGGACACAGTTGCGTGTTCCAGACTCGGGCGCTTGCTAGAGCCAGTCAGACTGCATGATACTTGACAGACTGGCCGCCAGGCTGGCTTTCGAAGCTGCGAGCTCAGGGATTAGGTCCCGTTTCTCTGCATCGCTCCCTTCTGGGAAGTGGAGCCTGCTCTTCTCTGCCAGTGCAGTCTCTCAAGCGCTGGGAACCGCATGTGCGTGTGCGGAGCCCTACTCACGCCTCACCCAGCTCCCATCCCCCGCACCCAGGGCTGGCCCTTGGCCTCACTGCAGGGTGTGGACTTTGGCACTGAGCCTCCCGCTTTCAGGGTCAGTCACAGATGACTGACAGATATGACAGCTTGACCCTCCCAGGTCAGGTCCGGAGCAGAGTTCTGTGGAGCAGGTCATGTTGTGTCGCAGACATTGTAGAGCATTTGAGTATTGTTACAAAACAGGTGGTTCAGTGACTTGGACTTTAAATATATTTTATTTGAAAAAAATTCGTTTAAGAAAAGATATTAGCCTATCTAAAATGGTTGTTACTTTCTGCTGCAGAATTAGGACTTCTAGGATCCAGCCTCCTTAACGCTGAGTATCAGGAAGAAATCTCAAACACAATAAAGATTGTTTAGATTTTTGTTTCTGGAATTTGGTGGCATCGTCTTGTGCTACATATTACTAACTGTAAAATCCAAATTCTGGTTTGGAGAGGCTCCACTCTCGTCCTAGAGAATTGAGTCAAAACCCTCTCCCATGCTGGTCTACTCCTGGGCCTCCGAGGAAGCAGGCCCTCCGGGGACTGTCCCGCAGGCCACCTCCATCCAGCCCAGCAGCACTGCTCAGGGAAAGGAGAATGGACAGTCGCCCCGTTTCCCAGAGTGAAAAGACGCCAAAGGAAGCTCGTGTTCTTCCAGCTGGCATTTCAGCGTGCAAACTTGTGAAGACATTTTACATGGAGTGGTGTGATTTGCATGGTTTACGGCAGGATAGAGATTTTAACTCCAGCTTTGCCCCTTGCCGAGCGTTTGCTGCCGCGTGGCCCCTCCCCACGGCCTCGCGGTTCCCTCTGCCCGTTTGGCCCCGTTGCTCCCAGCCTCCCCCTGGACCGCCACCGCAGAGTCAGACTCGGGGTTTGGTTGGTGTCTCCTTCTGCCTGTTTCTTTATCTGCTGCCCCCTGGTATTGTTCTCCACTGTGTCGCAGCGACCGGGACTCGCTGCATGTCCCCCCTGCGTCACAGCAGCCTGTCCATCTCTCGGCAGCGTGAGGATGTGTGAGGGGCCTGGAGCTGCTGGCCCTGGTGGCCAGCCACATGCTCAGTGTTGGCTGAGGCCGACCACCGCTTTGACGGCGCAGATCTGGAGCAAGAGTTTGGAATAAAAATACTGGCACTCGTGGGGCTCTCTGGGTCTCGGCCTCTCCTGTGAAAGGAGGACTTGGACTCGGCATTGGACTCAAGCATCCGATCAAAAAATCCTGGGAGAGCTCCCCTCCCTGACTCTTCGGGGGGATTATGGGGGAATATTTAAAAATCCGGGGAGCAATTCCATAGTACGGGATATCTGCCCTTAAGAGTTTATGGCCTTGGAGCTGGGGATGGTACAGTGGCCAGGGTGCTGGCCTCTCACACAGCTGACCTGGATTCCCCCGACACCCCATAGGGTCCTCAAGCCCTACCAGGAGCAACCAGGAGTGGTCACTAAGCACCGCCTGGGGTGGCCAAAACAAACAAGTTTATAATCTTGTTCTAAAAAAGACAGTGGAGGGGCTGGAGCGATAGCACAGCTGGAGGGCGTTTGCCTTGGAGCGACCGACCAGGGTTCGATTCCCAGCATCCCATATGGTCCCCCGAGCACTGCCAGGAGTGATTCCTGAGTGCAGAGCCAGGAGTAACCCCTGAGCATTGCCCGGTGTGACCCAAAAAGCAAAAAATAAAATAATACAACTGAAAAAAAAAAAAGACAGCGGAGCCCCTGAGCACCACTGTGTGTGGCCCCCGACCCCCACCAAAAATAAATCAACACCTAGAAGAAGGCCAGGTCTGCCCCTCAGAAGGACAAGAAGATACACGCAGGTGGGAGATGCCCGCAGCCGAGAGCGTTAGCTCTCTCTGGAGCACGTCCGGAAGCAGTGCCCACTCTGCTGTAGGACGATGAAGACACGTCACGGGGACTCAGAGCCCACCCGGGGCGTGGGGGGGCGAATCGGAACTCGGATCACAAGAAGTCAGAACCGTAGGAGGAACTGGGCCTTCTCACTGCAGCAAGCATGGCTGTAGCCGGACCCTGCAGGTTCTTGCGGATATTCAGCAGTACCAGATCTTCCTTCCTTCGTGCCTGTCGTTCCCATTAACGTTATTGATTTTCGGAGCCGGAGCAATAGGACAGTGGGTAGGGCGTTTGCTTCGCACAGGACTGACCCAGGTTTGGTTCTTGGCACATCTGGTCCCCCAACCACCACCGGACTCGGCCCCCGAGTGCAAGCCAGATGAAAGCTCTGAGCACCGCTGGGTATGGCTCAAGACCAAAACCAAATGGTTGGATTTCAGTGAACTCTTCTTAGTAGTGAGGCCCGGGACAGAGCCCAGAAACCGTAGTGGACAACAACCACGCTCGACGACATCCCTGTGCTGCTGGACTTTGCCCTGCCCATGCCCTGCTCTGGGGACTGCTTGACCACCAGCCTGCCGGATGTGGATCATTGCAGTGCTGGGACGGATGATAATTTTCTCAAAATCGTCTCTTCACATACGCAATAAAGATTTCACTTCAAGGCTTTTTGATGCTCCTGGGCAGTTGGAGGAGGCCTTTAAGCAAACGCTGGTCAACACGAATGACATCTTCAAACCTCTGCTGCTGCTGAGAAAGCTGCTGCCCGCCTCTGTCTCCGCGCGACGTTAGTGTGTGGGCAGCATCTGTGCCGACTCAGGGCTGCCTGGAGGGCTTGGATGCCGCCGATGTGCAGGTGGCCCGTCAGGTGGTGGTGCACTGGACACAGTGTCATCTGTCCACCCACATCATCTCTCACCTTTTCATCTTTCAGGGAAACTTCATCCCCAAAGATATTTTCTTTGCAGTTTTCTTCCTCGGCTTTTCTGACCTTTCTTGTCGACGAATGTCAGCTTATACAGAGTATATTTCAGTTTTAAAAGTAGTATTTTCATCAATGAAAAATGGTCCGTTTTTTCCCTACTCTATTTTGGATTGGGTCTTGATGCAGAAACAGTGGCGTGTAAGGGCAGTAAAACCTGAAGGAACCCTTAGTTCCGACTCGGATTCTGTCCCATTGTATGCTGTCGTGTGGTCATTCAGAAGTACCTGACTTCTTTTCTGCCTTGTGTCTCAACAGAGGGAGAGTATGTTAAAATGTTTATGCGAGGTCGGCCCATCACAATGTTCATCCCGTCGGACGTGGACAGCTACGACGACATCCGGACCGAGCTGCCTCCTGAGAAGCTTAAGCTGGAATGGGCGTATCCTCCTCCACCAGCCTCCCTGTGTCCGCCTGCGCTGTGTCAGAGTACGCGGCGGTGTCTGTCCCGTAGCCCGAGCCTGAGGGAGCCCCGTCCCTTCCTGCATGGTGCTGTCAGCTCTCCTGACGTGGACCCTAGGCTGTGGTAGCAAAGAATCGGCAGGTTCGGGCCAGAGCTGCTTCCCCAGTGAGCCTCCCTGACTCTCAGGAGAAGTGGCTGCGGCCTCGTCCTCGCTGAGCTGTTGTCTGACGGGAGCCCCCAGTGAATGGTCTCCCCACCTGTGGGACAGCAGGAGCAGCTGCCAAGAGCCACCCTTCCTGCTCTCCTGCTCCCAGTTCTCCCACCTTCCCGGTTGTTTGCCCAAAGGCTGCAATTCTGTGGCCCCTTCAGTTTGATTTGGTTTGGTTTGGGGTCTTGGGACCCCCCCAGCAGTGCTCAGAAACTACTCGTGGCCTGGCGCTCAGGTCCTTTAAAACCTCACGAACGCTCTGCAGACCACGCCGTGCCTGGCTGACTCAGTTCTCACTGCGCTCAGCCCGAAGGGCACTTACTTTGAGGTGGCCGTGTTGCTGTCCGTGCGCCCTGGCCTTGTTCCAGCACACTGGTCTCTCCACAGTGTGTAGTGAATGTGCGTGGTGGTTGTGTCTGTCGCCTTTGCCAGAGCGGGGAGAAGGGCCCCGTGCTGGAGTAGCGTGGCACGTTTCCTACTTCTTATTCCCGTTTTCCTGGTTCCCTTGGGCGTTCACGGGGGAATGGTTCCTTTGCCTCTTCGGGAACTGCACTTACTGAAAACCTTGACTCTTTCTTCTAAGATACGGCTATCGAGGCAAAGACTGTCGCGCTAACGTCTACCTTCTCCCCACCGGGGAGATGGTGTACTTCATAGCGTCAGTGGTGGTTCTCTTTGACTACGAGGAGAGGACGCAGCGCCACTATCTGGGCCACACGGACTGTGTGAAATGGTTGGTATCAGTACCCCAGCGTGCCTTGCTGTCTCGATGCCCTTGGTTTTGTTGCGTTTCTGGTTTCAGTGTGTTCCTCATTTTAAAAATAATTCCTCGTGAGGACTCGGAACTCGAGGGTATTGTGAGGAAGGCTTGCAGGCTCGAGCCGTGGCCCGTGTCCCAGCTCAGAGCCGAGCCACCCGTCACACAGCATGGATGGGGGAATCATTCTGGGCACAGAAATTGGGGTCTTAATTTTTCCCTTTGGAACAAAGAAAAGGAATAAGGCTCAGACTGTTAACATGTGAGAACCCCTTTTGAATTGGTAGGTTTGTTTTTTATTGCCCAATAAGTCTTGGTGCCCTGTAAACTCAAACGTTTATAGGTTAAACTCATTTTCATGTATTTACACACACACACACACACACACACCAGCATATCAAGGTATTTTATGTTTATAGTATCCTGACCCCTGTGTCTAGGGAAAAGTCAGTGACTGATAGATGACACGTGCCTATTGCCGAGCTTTCCCAGATTACTAAATACACTCGAGCAAACCCAGAATGACGTGCTGGAGCCTGTGTGGCTAGTAAAGACGAAAGCAGCCCGAGTGCCCTTTCAGCCGAGAGCAGGTGTTCCCCGAGGCTTCCGTCCGCAGCAGAGAGACCGAGGAAGCCTGGTATGCACCCAGAGAGCACCGCTCTGTTGTGTGAGAAGGTCGCAGGCGTTCTTAGAAGCGTCCGCTTCCTCTTGCATTCTTTTTTCCTAGAGTTATTAGTTGAACGCAGTGGACTGTGATTGCCGCCTGACTGGCCGCAGGGAGCAGGGACGGAGGTAGAGGAGCGCTCAGCAGACAGGCAAGGCAGGGTGGGATGTCATCCATGCTTCCTGCGGCAGTTGGTGACGGAGCCGTGCACCATATGTGGCCTAACCCAGGAACTGTTCTTTCCAAAGAGACCTGAGGTGCAGGAGAGTAGGACGGGGTGAAGGCTGGTGTTTGATCCCTGGCACCACACGGTCCTCTGGGCATCACTGGGTGCCCCCAGTATCGTCGGGGATGGCCGTTGAGGGCCCCGTGCACATGCCTAGCACCACACTGACCTGCCCGGCTGGTCACCATGTTCCGTCCTCCCTGTCCCCGTACACCGCCTCTCCCTCCAGAGCCTCCTGAGCCTCACTTGGGGGCCCCTCTCCCCCAAGTCTCTTTTATTGAAAGGAAGAAAATTGAAAATAAAGATTATGATCCTGTATTAGACTTCGGTTAATTTTAATGTAAATGACCTCAAAAAAGGACAAATTATGAGATAGGGAATAGAAATAAAGAAGCGTAATGATGAGCTTTAGACTTCTATGTAAGTAATCGAAACAGAATAGCACGTGTATTTTAAGTCTTCATATGGAGGAAGTTGCAGTGAAACTTCTCAGACGTTTTGTTGCAGAACTGGAGAGAGAACAGGAGTTTGCTTTCTTCACAGCTGACCCAGGTTCTAGCCCTGGAGCCCTATACGGTCCACCCTGAGCACAGAGTCAGGAGTAAACCCTGAGCGCAACAGGTGTGGCCCAGAACACCCCCCCCCCCCCAAAAAAAAGCAGCTACAAAAATGCTTGTTTCCTAGATAACTTAAATCAGATTGTCCTCTCCTGGAGTCAATGAGCAGTGCAGACTGAGAGCCAAAATCCCCCCCCCAGCCGAACACAGCCCTTGGCTGCAGAAAGGAAAAACATTCTCAATGAGGATATGAGAACGGGCTTGCGTATGTGGCTGGCCATTCGTATGCGTCTCATGAGAAATTGGGACTTGAAATGTTCTAGTTTCTGCATTTGGATCTGCCCCCAGACGAGTTTCGCAGAGAGGACTGATGAACAGGCTGGGGATGTGGCTCGCGGGTTGAGTACGTGCCTTGCATGCGAAGGATCGACCCTGGTTCAGCATCTGGCACTAACTGGCCCGCCAGCCCTCCCCGTAAAGGACTGAAATGACGAAAAGAAAGAGACTCGGACAAGGGAGGTGGTACAGAGGCTGGAGCATGTGCGTGGCAGCTCAGCAGCCTGGCTCTGTGGGACCCCGCGCTCTGCCGGAAGTCGCCCAGCCACTGACCTGGAGGCAGAGGAGGAGACTTGGGGTGGGCGGTGCTGAGCAACTGACCCCTCTGTGTGTCCTTTAGAGGAAGGAGGGACGGCAGAGGGCATCCGTTCGAGTGGGCACAGACCTGCTCGTGCCGGGGTAGGTGAGCGTTGGCATCTTCAGTACAGCGCCCTGAGGAGAATGTGTGCCTGTCTGCGGGATCAGGAAGGGAGCCTGACCAGATCACTTGGTTTGTTACCTTGCCACGTTGTGAACAGATTCTGTTGTCAGATTTAGTCACATTGATTTGTTCAGTTTAATAAAGCAAAAAAAAAATGTTATATTTAGAAATCCGTTAAATGTTTATTTGATTTGCTAAAGAAAATCAGATGTTATTTTGAAAATGTTGGTACTGTGGCATATTTCTGTTTGACATGCTTCCTGTATTTTAAATTGTTATTAAAAATGCTTTTTAGCCTTGCTATCCATCCTGACAAAATTAGGATTGCCACAGGACAGATAGCTGGAGTGGATAAAGATGGAAGGGTGAGTGGCGCGTTTTCTGCATTCTGTACCCGTCTCTGTGATGCTGCTGTTAGAATGGAACTGATACTCATTTGAACCACAGCTCCTTTATTGAAAAGTTTAGCTCCGTGGGCCAGGAGAAGCGTGCAAAGGGTTGAAGTGTTTGCTTTGCATGTGGAAGCCCAGGTCCTCCGCAGGCACTGCATGGTCCCACCCAGGGTGGGCGTGACCCCCGAGCACTGCTGAGGTGGGCCCAAGCCCTAGGTAAACTGTGGGAGGATGTCCAGACAGGCGGGAGAATACCAGCCTGCAGCGGGTACTCTTTAATGTTATTCAGTTGACATCCGTAAAAACGTCCCCTGTGACGATGTGCCGACGGTGCCGATCACTGCACACACGGCCGTACTCGAACTGTATCTGGCTTCAACTTTTGGACAGGGGCTTGGAGGGGGTCTGTGAATGAATTCCAAGGGGCCTGCCAGTTCTGAATTCTCTGTCAGAACTGTTCCTAGTTTTGGGGGGCAGATCCGTTGGTGGGCGGGCGTGTTCGGGCCACACCGAGCAGTGTTCTTGCACTGTCTCCGGCTCGGGGTGTTTTTTTGTGGGGACGTCGCTCTCAGCAGTGCTCAAGGGACCGTGCAAGGCAGGCACCTTAACCCCTGCGCTCTCTGGCCCCGGTATTTTTCCGAGCGTTCCTTTCTCAGGAGGGCAGGCCAAGCGGATTCACCTGGGCTAGAGTCTTGACTCGCACTATTTCCCACTTGCTGTGGAGCTTTGGTGAATGTCCGTATTTCTCCTCGGGTGGTGATCATTTTAGTGCTTCATTCCTGGAGGATTAGATGACTCCATACATGTGATGTGCTCAGAACAGTCTGGCTCATTACTCACTGTGACTTTGTTGTTCCCGCGTTTCGATGGTAGGAGAAGAGACTGCTGTTCACGAGTCTCGGGGGTTTTGAACGCGCTCGCTGATTTTAGTTGAGTGCCCATGTAAACCATGGCCGAGCTCTCTGTGCATATCGGTGTTGATTTCCGTTCGCCTGCGTACCAGCTAACCTTGCTGTTCTGTGTTTTCTCCTTGGTCTTGTAGCCTTTGCAACCCCACGTCAGAGTGTGGGATTCATTTAGTCTGTCCACACTGCAGATCATTGGACTTGGAACTTTTGAGCGTGGAGTAGGCTGCCTGGACTTTTCGAAAGCAGTGAGTAACCATCCTCAAAGAATCAGGGATTGAACGAAGCGTCGGGAAGGAAGTTAAGCCCAGTTTCATATTACATGCCCAGAACCCTCGGTTGGAAAGTGCAGTGTTAGGTTTTGGCTTGACAGCAGCCGGCATTTAACCCTAAGTAGGGAGCTCGCTTGAGATAGGGCCCAGGATGTCCCCTCGCTAGGCCGGCTTATGTTCTGTCCTGAAACAGAGCTCCAGCGTAGCTGCAGAAGTGGCGGGAGGGCGTCCACGTGGCTCGGTACAGTTTGAGACGAGCGGTAGGCTGTGCGTGTGCTTGAACCTCTGAGGTTGTTCAGAAGATGCCGCCGTAGCCTTCTGAGTACCGGGCAGCTTGACGCCACACGGTGCGAGCCACAGGAACCCTTACCTTGCTGTCTCTGTGGGCCCGGTCACCAGGAAACCAAGCGGCAGCTCTGGAATGTCTCCCCTCCCAAAAGACAGAAAACTTGACAGACTTCAAACTTGGCCGGTTTTCTATAAATACCGGCTTGGTTAGGTGTCACGTTGATGAAATACTTAGACCCTTGTGCTCGTGAAAATCCTGAGCTGTCTTGGTCCTGAATCAGTGACATCCGCCCGGTGACCCTCCCCAGGCCCTGCTGGCTACTCTGAGGGGACAGTCAAGAGGAGGCCGCTCGCTCTGCTGCTGCCTGCACACGACGGCGCATGGAGGGCCCTTTGCCGGGGCTCTAGGGTCCCTCCACGCCAGGGCCGGGGAGGGGCATGCTGGTGCTTCAGGATGTATGCCCCCGGCATCTCTGGGACTGCTGGGATCCCGGGGGCAGAGGGACGTGGGTGCGTCGAGACGCTTCACTAGCTTCGAGGTGCTGAACGACTGAGGCTCACGCTCAGCCATGAGGACGGAGGCGTTGAGAGAACAGGTCGCAGAGAGGAGAGAGTTTTACCTTGTTCCAGCCAGTTAACAGCCTTTGGTTAGGAGCCCGGTGAATAGGTGAGGAACATTTCAGGCAGCAAGAAGCGGGCTTGGGTGCAGAGAGATGGTAGTACCCTCTGGAAAACTATTTGCTGTCTTGGGGTCTCTGTAATAAAGTAGCTGTGCGTAGCCAAGGAAAAACATTAATACGTTTTGTCTAGAAAATATCCATTTAAAGACTGAAGAAAATCGTCTTACTGACAAGTGTATTTTACTGTCTTTCATTGTACTTTAAGGGACTAGGAGTTTAGAGGATTGGGGTGTTGCACGTTCCCTTTGTTGCAGCATCAGTCTTGTCCGAGAAGTTCTAAGTGCCTTTCATTGACTTCTCTTTAGGATTCGGGCACTCATCTGTGTGTCATTGATGACTCCAACGAACACATGCTCACTGTATGGGACTGGCAGAGAAAATCCAAAGCAGCAGAAATAAAGGTAAACCTTCCCCCGAGTGTTGAAGTTGCCTGTCTTCTCGAGTGCGAACGGCAGCGGTTGTGTCTGGGCTGTGGTTCCGGGAGCTCATCGCCTGGCCGCGTCCGTCAGCTGCACCGGCGTGGCGTGTCTCCCGGGCCCGGCGCTGCGCTGCTGGAGTGGACCGTGACATCAGAGACGTTTCTCACCCGTGTTGACAGAAACGCCCAGGCAGGCCTGCGGCTGCAGCTCTGTGGCTGCCCGCTTCCTGGCCTCGCGTGCGAATGGCGCAGTAGGAAGGACAAAGGGCCAAGACGTGTCATCTTGAAATAAGACCCAGCACTCTGCTGGCAGCGGCTGCTGCTTTCATAGAACAGAGTACATGATTCCGTTCCCTCTTTCAAGCTTTACACAGCTCAGGTGGCAAACGAGAAGAGCCCGTGCTCTGTGGGTAGGTGCGGAAAAGGCTGCGGTGCTCCCCGCGCTGTGAGTTGATGCGGCTCCCGCGAGGCTCCCCGAGTGACGCTCCCTCTGGGGCTCCAGGGCTGCCTGCCGTGTGTTAGCGAGCCTAGGACATGCTTGCTGTGCCAGAGCTGTGGCCCCTTCCTCCTCGGTCGCTCCCCCTCAGCATCTCTTGGCTTGCTGGGCAGAGTGGTTCTCTGAGATCGCGTGTGGCTCTGGGAAGCAGCCGCGTCGATTGTACGTGAACATGGACAAGTCCAGGCCTGGGCAAACCTTGAACTCGAAACCGTGAAGACTTTCTGCCACTTTCTGCCAGAAAGTTTTGTCTTTCTGCCGTTGTCTGAGCGACTCGGCACACAGCGTCGGCAGTGCAGGGCGCGCTTCCCCTGGGCCTTCTGCGGAAAGGGCGGCCCGCGTGCCTCACAGGCGCACATGGCGCTCCGGCCAGCCCAGGGTCACAGCTCCAGCCGAGCTCCCGCTGCCTTCAGCGTCTTCTGCTCAGTGCCTGTCCGGGTCTGCTGGCTGGTGTCCGGCGGTTCCCGCTGGGGCAGGGCAGAACCCTGCTCTAGTCCACTTTAGACAGGCTCTGCCCTGCCTTTATCCGCTCGGGCTTCGGGAATTGTTCCCTGGCCTGTGACTCTTAAGTCTAAAGGTCTGTAAGAGACTTGAAACCCTGTTGACAGAGAAGGCCCAGGCGAGTGAGGACTCTGCTCGAGCCACGATGGCAGGCCACATGATGGAGGCGTCCACCTGACAGCGTGTGGAAATGTTTACAGGCAGTGTCAAGGTGGTCAGGGTGTGGTGGACCTGAAACTTGTGTAGGCTCCTGCTGGACAGAGAAGGTGACGCAGCCTTTGGGACGCTAGTGGCCGTCCTCGCCCTAGCTGAACCGTGCGCGCGAGTGCCCGGGACCCAGCCGTTACGCTCCCAGCTGTGAACAGCAGCAGGAGGAGGTTGGTCTGTTGGCCAGAGGGCGGGGAGTCAAACAGGTAGCAGAAGGTGGAGGGGTGGGGACCACCGCCCAAGGCCCTTCAAGAGGAAAATGTGGCCCGAGTCGTGTGGCCTTTCCGCAGACATCCTGGATAGAGGCAGCGGCAGGCGTGCTGAGTCTGACTCAGACCGTGGGTGTGCCACTCGGGCAGTGCCCTCCCACTGGGCCGCACGTGGTCTCCCCAAACATCACCAGTCCCCCGACCCCCCCCCCCCCGAAAAAAAACAAGATTAAAAGATTTCACTGTTGAGTATTGTTTATTTTATTCTGGTGAAAACAGGTGGTCAGATTTAATTCTTGTTTCTGGTTTTTCTTGGCTCTCACCCAGCAGTGCTCAGGGCTTGTTCCTGGCTCATTGGTCCTCGTGGGCTCAGGACACCAGAGATCGAACCCAGGTCAGAAGTGTGCAAGGCAAACACCCTGCCCACTGTACTCTCTGGCCCACAGTTTAGTTTTTAGAAAGCATCGTCCTGGGGGAGAGAGGACTGCTTTTCACTTTGTTGTCAGTACATAGTAGACCTTCAAGGGGCACACAGTTCTTTTTGCCATCTGTCCAGCCTGAATTCTATCAAAGGGGGAAACATGCAGCTTCCGTCCATCGACGTGCTCGTACAAGGCCTTTGCGGCCTGATGGAGGGAGATAGCTCCAAGGTGGGATGATGCCTGGCACGTGTGAGAACCCGGTCCCACAGCCAGCACTCAGCCCGTGAACGCTGCCTGTCTGGCCCTGTTCCCCTTCGTGTAGCGTGGCCGGGCCCCAGCACCCCAGCGCACACGACCCTCAGCTCTGTGGGGAGGGAAAGAGCAGAAACATGCTCGTGGCGAGGGAGCCTTGGGAAATGTTTAAGATCAATTCCCTCATTTTATCAGTCCGAAGTAGATAGAGCCTCCGAAATATTTCCTCCTTGCCTCGCGCTGTCATTTGATAATGATCGCACGCAAGCGCCAGTGATGATAGCATTCAGCATCCGGCTTGAAGGCTGCGTCCGGTTTGAAGTTCCACTTCAACCATGAGGTGTCAATTTAGTCAGAATTTAAACATGATTTACTTGAACAGAAAGAGAAAGAGACACCTTTTTTTTTTTTAATTTTCCACTTTCACCTTATATGACCTTGTGGCTTACAAAGTTGTTCAGCATGTTTTGTTCAAGATGCCAACGCCAGTCCCACCACCGTTATCTCCAGTTTTTCCAACCACCCCTTAAACCTGCCCCCCATATCAAGCCCTTAATAATTTATCTTAGATTGCTTGTTATAATTTGCTAGAAGAATGATCAAAAAAACGTTTCCTCAGAAGAAAGTTAGTGAAGATTGTGTATCTCACCATGGAGTTGTTAAGGCCTTTGTATAAGAGATTACTAAAACATTACGGGTTAGGTCGTGTGTGTGTGTGTGTGTGTGTGTGTGTGTGTGTGAATGTTTTGTTCCTCGAGATTGGATGTCTTTTACAATATATACCATCCAATCTGGTGCACTACTCCTGGTTTATCAGTATCACTACCACATGCTCCAGGAAGTACAAAATTTTTAACAAAGCGATAGTTGGAGTTAAATTTTAACTGGTGGCATTTTGGAAGTATTTGGGAGACTGTCAGGCCTTCCAGAAGTACAGAGAGGAGAGGAGAGGTAGGCCCATCCCCAACTCCATGAAAGCCTGATGATTTCAGTCACAACCCTTGTATCTGAGTTTTTCAACAGGCTATTTTCTTTTTTTTTTTTCTTCCTTTTTTTTTTCTTTATGGGTGACACCCAGTGATGCACAGGGGTTACTTCTGGTTCTGCACTCAGAAATGACCCCTGGCGGTGCTCAGGGGACCATATGGGATGCTGGGAATTGAACTCGGGTCGGCCGCGTGCAAGGCAAACGCCTTACCCGCTGTGCTATTGTGCCAGCCCTCGATAGACTACTTTCTGGATGAGGCTTATCCTGAGCGGTGGAGTCTGGCCGGGAGCATGGCAGCAATTATGGATGTGGAGGTTTTCGGCTGCGAAAGCACTATTTGGGCAGGTGCTGGGCTCACCCGCCCCCCTCTGGGGTGCTCCGGATGACTCAGACTGGCTCGGGGTCCAGAAGCAATTCCTCAACTTGTTGATCTCTCTCAAGGTTTATTTATGAGTCTCTGGATCATGGTCGGTGAAAGCGTTTCCACAGCGCTGGAGTTGGTTCACGCAACATAGACATGTTTTTCAACGAAGAATATTCTCAGTTCAGTGGGAAACCTGTGCTTGGACATTCCTTGCTGACCCTCCAGCGCTGGGCTTTCTTTCCTGCCCAGGTTCTGTTTAATGAGCTCCCGTTTGGTCCTTTGTTTTGTTATTTCGGTTCTCTTGAGTCAGTGCCCACTGGCTGTTTAAGGCCGTACCCTGAGGGACAGATCTCTGAATCAGTGATAATTTCTTGAATTGCTGACCATCAGTAATGACAATGATAGGCCTGTTCCTTTGTTTTCACATAGGGGTCCTGCCCCACAGTGCTAGGGCTTCATGCTGGGGGTACCTGGAGCTGGCACTCCCTGGGGCCACAAGGCTGCACCTGCAGTATTGGGCCCCGTATGTCCCTGGTATCAAACCCAGGGCTTCCAGTGTCAGGCTCTGGGTGCTGTCACTCGAAACCGCATCTCCTGCCCTCTTCTTTTTGTAGTAAGAATGTCTTGAAGATATTTTGCATATTGCTCTTGATTTTATAGTTTCAGTGAACTTTTCTCTGTGCAAAAAATTAAACGTTAAAACTAGTCAGGGCCAAAGATATAGGACGGTTTTACCTTTCATGCGGCCGACCCGGGTATGAAGCCAGCATCCATCCCATGTGGTCCCCCGAGCACTTCAGGAGTGGTTCCTGAGCACAGCAGGCATGGCCCACAAACAAAACAGCTAATTCACAAGTATTCCTCAAGCGGTTACCATAAATAGCACAATAATTATAAATATACATAAGAGTATTAAGATCAAATCATCGTAAAAACCTGTTTTTAAATGTTTTCTGGGACTGAGGTGGTAAGAGAGGGAGGAGGTTGTTTGCTCAAGAGTACTTCCTGTCTGATCGCTCACAGCCCCTTGATCTTGACGAGGGTGCAAGTTCACCTCAAGTTTTATTTTTCATTTCACAGACAACAAATGAAGTTGTTCTGGCTGTGGAATTCCACCCAACAGATGCAAACACCATAATAACCTGTGGTAAATCCCATATATTTTTCTGGACCTGGAGTGGCAATTCTCTAACAAGAAAACAGGGAATTTTTGGGGTAAGTGTCCAAATGTCATTACCCTTGTTACAAAGCGGTACGATTTTTGAAATAAGTGTAAAATGACGGTGCCAGGGGACAACTGAACATCCTTGTTGTTTCATTGTAGAAATACGAGAAGCCCAAGTTTGTGCAGTGCTTGGCGTTCCTGGGGAACGGAGACGTGCTCACCGGGGACTCGGGCGGCGTCATCCTCATATGGAGCAGGACGGCCGCCGAGCCCGCGGCCGGGAAGGGGCCCAAAGGTGCGCTGTGCCAACCCACCCCCACCCCCTCCCCGAAGAGGTTCAAGGGGTCTTTTCCAAATGAAACCATTTATTCTTCTTAACAGTTTATTAAGCACGATGCCTGCATTTGATTACACTGAGCCTTGCCTTGTGGGAGGGGAATACAGCGTAATCAGGAGGCGACACAGGTGTCTGGTTAATGGAAACTGTGTAAATACTCGAGCGAGAGACCCTCCTGGTGTCCACTCTGGCGAGGCCAGCACAGATGGCGGCTTCTGTGGAGCCCTTGTTCGCGGGTGGGGGAGAGCACGGACTCCCGAAGGGCCCTCGTGTTGGGGAGCTGACGGTCGCCACGGAGGGTGGCGCCGGTCCTTCGAGTCGCTTGTGTCGGAATCTTTCTTCTTCGTGGATCAAGACAGCCTCGTGGTGGAGATCTGGCTCAGGTAGAGGGGCACATTTTGGCCTGTGCCAGGCCCTGAGTGCGGGCGTGGCCACTGGGTGTGGCCCCTCGGAAAGGAAAGTGGAAGCCACAGAGGAAAGTGCGCGTCAGACGGTTCCGCAGAGTCCCTCTGGTCAAGGCCAGCCGAGACCGGACTCTGAATACCACAGGTCTTAACTGAGACCTGTCGAGGCAGACTCCACGGAGACTGAAATAAAAAGAGCTTTTCTGTTTGCCCACCTTGTTCCTTCCAGGGCACTTAAAAAGTGCTGTGAATGTCCAAGAAAGCCGGGCTGCCTTTCAGCCGTCACATCCGTCCCGTCGGGTCTGTTCTCCACACCGGGGCAGGGACAAGGCTGTCTCAGTGCCACAGCATGGGCTTCGTCTGGGGGTCCTGGTCCCATCCCTAACCCTGTGCAAGAACGAAAACCAGGCAGAGGCGCTTCTCTGCTGTCCATCTGGGCGGAGGGAGGGAGGGCAGCCTGGGCTGCGCAGACGGTGCTCAGGCCACTGTGGTGGCTGAAGATGAAGGGTTTCGTGCAGTTACCAGGACCTGCTGTAGAGAGGCCTGAGCCCGGCTACCTTGTCACCGAGCTAGCTGTGTGGCCTCAGACAGGCCCCGCACTGACTTCTCACAAGCGCCAGCTGACGGCGCTCCTCTGTGGGCACTGGTCGCTGCTTTCCAGCTTTCTCTTCCGAAAGAATGCATTGCAACGCTTCCTGAGAAACGGACTTTGGCATAAGTGTAAAGATTGCACTGTTTCAGGGCTGGGGCAATAGCACAGCGGGGAGGGCATTTGCCTTGCATGCGACCGGCCTGGGTTCGATTCCCAGCATCCCATCGGGTCCCCTGAGCACCGTCAGGAGTAATTCCTGAGTGCAGAGCCAGGAGGAACCCCTGGGCATCGCCGGGTATGATCCAAAAAGAAAAAAAAAAGAAAAGATTGTACTGTTTCGTTTCCTGCTTTGAGAGAGACTCTGAGACCGGGTGCCAGCCTCCCCGGTTTGATCCCCGGCACACGAACCCTGAGCCCTGTGTGCCCATCCCCCTTTTCCGAAATGAGGAGACCGCTGCAGAGCACTCTGGTTGTGGGATTGTGGCTGTTTTCAGTCCAGCAGGCAGTGGCTCTGCTCCCATTCTCTTCCCAAAGACACTGAAACCTGCCGGCACACAGCAGGACTCAGCCTCTGCCCAGCATGGCGAGACCCTGGCTGACTCCTGACGGACGAAAAGGAGCAGCAGGGGCAGGAGCTGGGGCCGCCCTCACGCGCCTCTGTCTGTTCCTCCTCTGCGCAGGCGTCTACCAGATCAGTAAGCAGATCCGAGCCCACGACGGCAGCGTGTTCACGCTCTGCCAGATGCGGACTGGGGCGCTGCTGACCGGAGGGGGGAAGGACCGGAAGATCATCCTGTGGGATCACAGTCTGAGCCCCGAAAGGGAGATCGAGGTAAGCAGCACTCGGAGACAGCCAGGTCGCACGCCCAGAGGGAGGCGGCCGGAGCAAGGCCTGGGCTACCTCCCAGTCAGTCTCAGCCCCCGGGACACTGTGACCCCAACCCCGGGTGCTGGGCACCCCCCGGCCCACCCAGCGATGTCTGGGGAGGACCTTCTGGTTCCAGGATTGAACTGGGGCCGATCACAGGCAAAGTCCTCCGCTTCTCTCCCACTTCACCCCCGCCCCTTCCCTCTTTCGCTCCTCTCTCATATTTCTCTGGATAAATACCATTCCACTTCAAATCGAAACTGTTGGTAATGTTTTAATATCACGGCCTTTGTGAAATGCAATGAAAGTCTGAGAATCCTCAGTGGGAGATCGGCTGGCAGTAGGGGACTAGCGGGTGTCGGTGTGCTGAGCTCCCAGACGCCTCTTCCAGGTCCCTGAACAGTACGGAACCATCCGAGCTGTGGCCGAGGGAAGGGCAGACCAGTTTCTAGTGGGCACGTCGCGGAACTTCATCTTGCTGGGCACTTTCAATGACGGCTTCCAGATAGAAGTGCAGGTAAGCTGTGTGGTGGGCGCTGCCTGCGTGTTCTCGTGGCGTCGCGGGTTCTTAGGACCGTTCGGGTTTGCTTTTTATTTCCAGGGCCACACAGATGAACTTTGGGGTCTTGCCACACACCCGTTCAAAGATTTGTTTCTGACATGTGCTCAGGACAGACAGGTGTGCATGTGGAACTCGGTGGAGCACAGGCTGGAGTGGACTCGGCTTGTGGATGTGAGTCGGTGACACCCAAGAACACTCGCCCAGCACCCTAACTCTAGTTGGAAGGACTCTGCGCGGGTTGAGACCCAGCGCAGAAGGTCCGGGTCCAGGAAAGTCACGTTCTAAAGAAGCAGATTGGGCAGACCGCACACGTCCCAGTGCCGCATACTCTCAGAACGGCATTGCCGTGGAAGGGTCTGGCCTCTTACCATGCGCCAGCACCCCCAGCCCAGAGCCCCTGCCCCACGGCATGGCACATGCTTTACCCGGCCCTAAGGACAGGCCAGATGTTGGTTGTTGCAGCCATCGGTGCCCCCGTAGCCTCTGCCATGTCCTCATCTGGCCCCAAAACTTGTCACTTGTGGGCTCATTCCACTGCCCGTCAACTCAGAGAGGTTGGCTGGGCCCGGGGTTCTGATGTTCTGTTCTCCCTAACCCTGCCTGTCACTCTTCTAGGAACCAGGACATTGTGCAGATTTTCACCCCAGTGGCTCAGTGGTGGCCATAGGAACACACTCGGGCAGGTAAGGTCTCTAGGGAAATACAGCCCTGGGAATGGCGGGTGACCCCGTTTGGTGGTGCTCCTGCCCGCACACCGCCCGGCCCCTTGTGGGTGCTCCACTGTGTGGGGGCTGGGGACGGTGAGAACGTAACTTTGCCGGTAGTGTAAGGAATATCCTGGGGAAGGGGGCTGAACATAGCTTCCGAGAGACCTGACTGCAGGGACAGTCCTGCACACTTGTCCCTCCTTGTGACATTGCTTTGTGGGGTCAGGAAGGGTCTTCTTTCCAGGGAAGCGATTGAAGCTGAACTAGCCCCAGAGAGCCCAGTGGTTAGAGCTTGTGTCCTCCTGCCCTTTAAAATGGCGCCGGGCTGTTTCTGTAAGCCGCTGCTGCCGTCCGACAGACCCGTGGGAGGCTCTCCCAGGGCCAGCTCGCGTCCATTCTCCTTTCATGGCTCCTCTTCTTTGCCTTCGCTAGTGACGGTCCTCACGCGAGTAACAGATTCCTGTCAGAAGCAGAGGGCAGATACCAGCTCAGGTGCCACGAGTCAAACCCGTAGCAAATGTGGAATACTGACTTCCGTTGTGGGGTTAGCTATTGTACCACGCTTATAAAAGTATTTTATTTATATGACGTCTGTATTTCAAATTTGCCAGTTCATTTTACTCGAGCAAAACGCAGGTATTCAGAGTTTGTGTTGGTGTTGCAGTGTATTTTCCCTTTTCCTATTTGGATATCAAGCACCACCCCCAGGAAGTCAAAACAGACTCAGCTCCCTTCTCATACAGGGGTTTCATTCCAGCTCTCGAGTCACAAGAAAGTGTCTCTCGAGAGAAAGGTGAACCCTGAAACCTGTGTGACTCATGTGACAGGAAGCCCTTGGCCCATTGTCAGCCACTCCTCAGCCATCCCGGCACTGAGCCGTGTTCTTCCCAGTCTGCCCAGAGCAGACATCCTTGAAGTAGCACTGTGCAGCTGGGGTCTGTGGCCACTGCTCTCACTGAGCACATCCCTGGTTGGTCCCTAGCGTACGGTGTGTGTGCATATGCTGTGACTTGGTGATAGAGACAGACCTTCCCGTCAGTGGATGGGAACTGGGCTTGTTTCCACCTTGGGGGCTACTGAGAATACTCAGCGTCTCTGAGGACCAGGGTGTCAGGCTGATCGTGGGGAAGGTCTCCGCCGACATTTGGAGAGCAGCTCTCAGGAAGGCCCGTTCGTAGGTCTGTGAGACTGGCTGGAGCCCAGAGTGGTTCCCCAGTGCCCTGCGGCAGTCTGGACTCCGAGAGCATCTCCAGAGAAGCCCTTGGCCAGACCTTGGCGTTTGTCGTCCTGTCCTTATTGTCCTGGGAACAGTAGAGAGTCTGGGGGTGTCTACTGGATGCTGCCCAAGTGGTCCTGACATCTATACTTGCCAAAGGGAGAGTTAGTCTCTGGGATGTGAGTCAATAGGTCAGGTTCTTTCTCCTTAATAGCTACTGAATCTCTGAGCAGTAAATGGCTCATTTTGGGTTTGCTGCGTATTATACTCAGCCAGTCTTATTTTTTTGTTACTTTTCAAAGGCCTTTCCATAAGGATAAAGGTGCTCGCAGTTTTCCTAGGAAGACTAAACTGACTTGGAAATAGTTTTTCTTTCAGAGGGATCAGTCAGGACTTCTAGGTGAAATGTTCCCTGTGACTAAGGGAAGTCAGTAGCTCAGTAACCAAACCTGTGGGGAGCCGTCCGTCCCTCGGGGTCCTTGGGGCTCCTGCGGTCGGGGGTGACCTTGCCGTGGGCGGGGCTCAGGCACAGGAGGGCACCGGCAGCCGAGGTTTCTCGGCAAGTCACGGAACTCTTCCTCGATGTGTGTGAGGGACCTCACATAGCCAAAGGTGGACGTTTTGGTCTTTCATCTTCTGTGTTGAACATATTAGTGTCCAGTAAGGCACGTCAGGAGAAACCACTGAACATTGCAGACAGAAGTGTCGGGTGGGAGAGCCGGCGTAGGGGCAAGGCACTTGCCTGGGTGAAGCTGACCCGAGTCAATCCCCAGCACTAGGTACAGTCCCCCGGGCACTGGCGGTGTGGCCCGGTGTCCACCCCAACCCCCGTCTTCCAAACCCTTTCTTCTACGTAGTTTTCACTCTAAATTGAAAGTGGTCCTTTCTGTATGCTGGCTCTAAAGCCTCGAAATTTTTGAAGTTCTGGTTCCTGTTCCTGGCTGGTTTTCCGGCTTGACACCATCTGGTTGAAACTCCAGCCCTTGTCCCTACAGTGAGTCAAGCCTTGTGCAGTCCAGTGTCCAGGCTGAGCGCCGCCCTGTGCCCTTGGCGGCCATAAAGCCGCTTCTCCTGGCTAAAGCCCACGCCGTGCCAGCAGGTCAGATGAGTCCAGTACTTAGTAGCAGCGGGAGAGAGTGCGGGGCTCACATACTGGCCTTGAATGTGGCTGCCCCGGGTTAATCCCTGGTGACCCAAACTGCCCCCTGCCATGCTGACTCACTAACAATTGGGTTGAAGTCACTGCTTTCCCTCTCGCGGACTTTCCCAGTTGACTCCTTGGAAAGGTGAGTGAGTAACGTCTCCGGAGAAGGTCGGGAGGACTTGAGGTCCGAGTGTTGAGCCCTGTCGCCTCCTGCTCCTGCACCTCGTCGGCAGGCGTGGCCAGCTTCTCTGCTGGCCTGTGCCCTGTGCCCTTGACTTCCTCTCCGACGACCTGGCCAAAGCCTGCTGGGAGGACATGCCAAGACCCGTGAACGTGGCCGAGATTTGCAGAACGAATCCATCCTCCTTTAAATGAGGGAAATGGCGTACTCAAAGGCTAACCGGAAAGGGTTTTAATTCCGTATTAAAAAATTTCTTAAGAAATTTCAAGACTTGGGGCTGGAGCGATAGCACAGCGGGTAGGGCGTTTGCCTTGCACACGGCCGACCCAGGTTCGATTCCCAGCATCCCATAGGGTCCCCTGAGCACCGCCAGGGGTAATTCCTGAGTGCAGAGCCAGGAGGAACCCCTGTGCATCGCCGGGTGTGACCGAAAAAGCCCAAAAAAATAAAAAGAAAGAAATTTCAGGACTGTTTTTAAGGGAAGAAAGTGTCAGCCACCATCTTTTCCCATGAATGCCGGTGTCTGAGAAGTGTGCTTTTCCCCGAGCAGGTGGTTCGTTCTGGATGCGGACACGAGAGACCTGGTGTCCATCCACACGGACGGGAACGAGCAGCTGTCTGTGGTGCGCTACTCCGCGGGTGAGCAGCGGCCGGACCCCCACCTCCCTGTCTCCCTACCCCCCCCCCATCACAGGCCGGGCTGTCCCCGACAGAGCTCCCCGCTCCCCGCGACATGTTTGTGTTTGACTACACACATACTGAGAATTTTCTGTTCGGTATTAGGTCTACTAGGCAACCCTTCCTCTGTAATAGGGGAATATAAAATACTGTAATATTCAGATGTGCATAGTTTGTAGGCTCTTCAAATCTTCAGAGTTGCTACATTGGTTTGTTACTAAACTGAGAGGCTCCAGCGCTCATTCTAAGAATGTGTAAAGGTGAGGCCAGAGCATGTCGGGATAAGGCACTTGCCTCCTACTTGACTGACCCTGGATTGGAGCCCCAGAACTGCATCTGGTCACCCAGTCGCTGCCAGTGTAGCCCATTATCAGAGAACTTGACGAGCTTGTCAAGCCTCGTTTGAGTGATTTTTTTTGTGTCTTGTTCATTCATATGGTTTGGAATCCTGTTCCTTTTTCTGGAGTCAGATCCAGTGGCATCTGCTTGGACTTGGAAATACATCCAGTGGGGCCGGAGGCTCCTGGTCATGTCTAACGTCTTCCAGAGGAAGCTCGGAGACTGTTTCTGGGGTGGCTTGAGTGAGGAGGGGCAGGTGCTCGCTTCAGACAGGCCTGAGGGGCTGCCTTGAAGCAGACGAGTCTTCGCTGTTTCCTTAACTTCTTCCCAGTCCTGGCAAAATGACTTCACTAGTGCAGGTGGGGCAGCTAAACTCGAAGTGGCCGTTGTTTGTTGTGTGGGCAGGACCGCGGAGGAGAAGGTGCCCCCTCAAGTGTGGCGGAGCGCCCCTGAGCAGAGGAGACGGGCCCCGTGGGGTGGGCTGTGAGCACCCCTGCAGACGGGCTGCTGGCTGCAGATCCCAGGTCTTTTGTGAGTGCACTGTGTCATGCAGCAGTGCGTCCGAAGGTGCCACGGAGCTGCGAAAGGAGGAGGGGTGGGAGGGGAGAGGGCGAGGGTGGGGCAAGGCACTGCTTCGTACCTGGCACCACATACAGTCCCCTGGCCCCCGTGTCGGGTGTAAGCCCAAAGCACCGCCCAAAACACAGAAAAACCAAAATGAGAAACTAACAACGTTTGTGAGATAGGGACACTTAGGCTCCAGTCTGGCGCCAACAAGGAGATCTCGCCGTCCTTTTCTCTCACCTGTTCCCCCCTGTGCCTTCTAGATGGCGCCCTCCTGGCCGTGGGGTCACACGACAACTTCATTTACCTCTATGCAGTCTCGGAAAACGGAAGAAAGTACAGCAGATACGGGAAGTGCTCTGTAAGTAGTGACGTTAAGTGTGCTGCAGAGTTAGACCTCCCCCTGCCGTCGAGGGGAGAACTAAGTGCTGGCATTGGGGTCTCCACTGCTTGCCACCCTCAGCTGCTTGTCAGACAGAATCCGGCTGCCCAGCCCACACTCTGAAAGGACTCCTCCTTTTGGTGACGGTTTGCTTGTTTCTCCATGACCACTTTTCTGTTATTTTGGTTTCCTGTTTTGTTCTGAGGCCACGCCTGGCTGTGGGCAGCTCCCATGCTCCCGGGCCTGTAACCCAGGCCTCCCACAGCAAAGCACAATCAGCCCCGTGAGCTGTTCTTCGGCCTCTTCTGAGACTCGTTTTAAGACAGTTTCTTAGATCTTAGATCAGAACGCTTTCTGGGAGTGGGGTGAGCATCTGAAAGGAGCAGCACCTCGCTTCATCTGGGTAGACTGGTTCTTGTGTCCGTTTTCTGGCACTGAGAGTAAAATTGTTTGTAGGATGGAGACGAGCTTCCATTTAGCAAATGGAGAAGCGTCCTCCCTAGAACATGGCCTGACGCCAGCACCCGCGTGGCATGCGTCTCACCTGCTGGGAGCAGCAGCTTCCTCTTGGCGCTGGGCTCAGACCCGGCTCTGGCCACATCTTGGCGTAGTGGATTCTTAGATGGTTTTTGGCACATGAGTGGTCAGCGTATGCAGACTTATTTCTATAAAAATGAGATGGCTTTCTTTGCATTTTCGTTTGGAATCAGCATACTGCCTGGTGAATTAGTCGCCCAGATCCCCGGGTAGTCTCAAAATAGTTTGAGGGAATTAACAGATTCAGTTGTTAAACTTAGGACACACAGGACACACACTGTTGGACTTCCTCCTAGTTCTGTACTCAGGGCCCACTGGTTCCAGGGAGCAGACCCAGGTCTGCTGCGTGCACGGCAAGAGTCCTACCCTCAGTACTCTCTCTCTAGCTCCCTGCCTTTTTTTTTTTTTTTTAACATATACTGTTTGTTTAAGCCAGCCTAGAAGCTGGTCCGTTAAGCAACATCCAGGCTTTGAGAGTTATCCAAAATCTTTAACAGTTATAAATCAGTGTTGATTAAGTAAATCTTAACTTAGTTGGTATGTCTTAATGTACAAGGAATAGTATAACATGATCAAGTGGAACCTTCCACCGCCAGGCATTTTCATGTTAGTGAAGTTCGCCAGGCATCAAAGATCTAATTTTTGTACCTCGGCCTTTGAAGAAATTCGTGTCTTCATAAAGATCATGTTAAACTGTGATGTCAGCCCTTTGAACCCTCATCCACTTGGCATTTCATGCTCTTACTAAGGTCTGGTGATTTCAGATTAGGCTCTCACTCACCTTTTGTCCCTTTCCATGCTACAGTCATCTCCTTTTTTTTTTTTTAATCTTTTTGGGTCACACCCGGTGATGCATAGGGGTTACTCCTGGCTCTGCACTCAGGAATTACTCCTGGCGGTGCTCAGGGGACCATCTGGGATGCTGGGAATCGAACCCGGGTCAGCCACATATAAGACAAATGCCCTACCCGCTCCAGCCCCTGATGTTTATCTCTGGGTGTAAGCGACTATGGAAAAGGTGGTGTGACTGTGACTGGAACTACCACATGATCAGTTAGGGCACTGTGGATCAGATGTGCACGTTCTCACGGCAGCATGTGTGATACGCACATACGCATACATCACACGTCACCCACTGCACGACTGAGACCTCGAGTAAGTCTCCCAGAGAACTCCAGCTGTCGGAATCTTGGTACCCAGAAGCTCTTTTTAACTCGTGTCTCACAGAGCCCTAGGACTTGGGGCCGTGACACAGACCTGACCCTGCTTGTTTGGGGGCGCCCCTGTGTGCCCTCCAGACGGTCCCCCGCCCGTTTCCCAGTCAGCCAGCCCCACCTCCACCCCTCCAGCATCACTCAACTGTTGGGGCGAAAGTGGCTCCACAGAGGCCCGAGTCAGCTGCCAAGGACACCAGTCTCCCCGGTGGCCTGCAGCGAATCAGGCCTCTGGACGCAGCCAGCCGAACAGCGTCTCCCCGACTGCCCCACGGAGCCAGCGAGGCTCCAGCGTTGGGGCTGCTTTTCCTTCTCGTGTGCGGGCAGAAGCTTCTGGCACGGTCTCGGGCTTTCTGGGAGTCTAGCTCAGAGGGATCAGGGTCAGCAGGACGCCCAGGTCTGAGGGCTTAGTCTTCCCACGTGGCAAGGCTCAGGACTTGGAGGTCACGCCAGGGTCTCCCCTGCTCGCGCCAGACGCCCACTGAGGCCGCCTGTCCTCCCCAGGGCCATTCCAGCTACATCACACACCTGGACTGGTCCCCAGACAACCAGTTCATCATGTCCAACTCGGGAGACTACGAGATCCTGTACTGTGAGTCCAGGCCAGCCTGACGTGCAGAGCATGCGCACTGGCCTCGGCCAGCTGGGAATTGGCACGGGGCGGGCCAGGGCAGCGGGGCAGGGCAGGACCCTCACGGCGCTGGGGAGGCTGCAGTGGACGGGCAGCCACGCTTTCTCAGAAACCCGGCAGCTCCGTGCCTGCTGTCGAACACATCCGCTCCCTGAGGTGCCCCGCGTGTTTCCTAAATGCCACTGTGACCGTCCGTCTCTCCGTGGGCAGGGGACATCACACACGGCTGCAAGCTCATGAGGAACCGCTCTGACTGCAAGGACATTGACTGGACCACGTACACCTGCGTGCTGGGCTTCCAGGTCTTTGGTGAGTCCCGGGGGTGGGCGGGGCTGGGGAGCTGCAGGCACGTTTGCTGCTGTCCGCAGGGGGGCCAGGGAAAGGGCTGCTCTGGGTGTGGGGCACGCCCGGGGGTCCCCAGCACCAAACCCACCTACCAAAACCAACAGTCACTGTGTCTTTGATAATGTCAGCTTGCGAGAACTGAACTGTATTAGGGTTGAACCAACATAAAGTTTTGTTCCTGGGAGAATCCAGGAGACTCTGGTTCCCAGCAGATACGATGTCCTGGAACTTGCCGGGTGATCCCGACAGTCTTCCGAGTGGAAGCGAGAGCTTTGGCACGCGGGGGCATTTTAGAGAGTGGCACTTGGGCCTTCCAGAGCCTGCTCCTGGCAGCTCCCTGACGGCCTCCTCCGGGACTGGCACCTCGGCTCTTCCTTCCCCGCCGCCACCCGGCTACGTGGTCCCTGGCCAGGCCACTCTCACAGCTGCCCCCACGGACCCAGCGTCACCGGGGAGACCGGCTGTTGCTTCTCTCCCTGACGATGCCCAGTGGGCACGAGGGGGCTTTGCTCTCATGCCCGACCTGTGGGCCTGGGGCTTCTCCCGCTTTCCAGCTCGGACAAAGCTGCCCTGAGCGGCGCTTGGCCTTTCTCCCTGGCCGGTGCCCTCTGGGCTGCCGAAGTAGCTCGGTGGCGTCGAGCGCGCTCGCCTGTCACGTCACGTGAGGCTGATTTTCAATCCCTGCCGCCGTCTGCAGGGACCCTGCTGTTTGGGATCCCGGCGAGGACAGAAAATGGCTTGAGTGGCTCTAGACGCGCCCCGGGGAAGGCAGGCGAACTCGGTGCCAGCCTGTACCGACAGCCCCGTTCCGGGAACCGTTGCTGAGGGGGCCGTTACTCTGGGCGAGACTTTAGCCGAGCCCTTCCGCTCTCGCTGCCAGCTGCGTCGGGGATATCTTTGTTCTGCAGTGCAGACCCACTGGAGATGGTGGGTGCGCTTGACTAGCCAGAAACAGTCTCGTGCCCGTCGTATCGAGCATGACCCCAGGGCTCAGGGATTTGCTGGGATTTCTTTGTGTGTAAATCACGGTTGCCAGGGAGCATCAGAGTACAAGTGGCTGGAGCGATAGCACAGCAGGTAGGGCGTTTGCCTTGCATGGGACTGACCTGGGTTCGATTCCCAGCATCCCATACGGCCCCTCGAGCACTGCCAGGAGTCATTCCTGAGTGCATCACCGGGTGCGACCAAAAAAGGAAAGCAAGCATCTTGAGAACCCCCACGGGCAGCCGACAGGCCTTTGCAGGAGAACCCCGCAAGTATGATCCGCGACACTGAGTGGCCGTGCCCGTCACAGGCCGTCTGCAGTGGGCCTCTGACGAAGCCCACCTGCGTCCACGACTCCAGAGGATATTTGGGTCCCACTGCACCATCACGCCCTCGTCCTTGGGTTAGGGAGGGGCCGGGGCCAGGCTGACGCTGCCCACCCTGTCTCGCCTCTTGTCCAGGGGTCTGGCCAGAAGGGTCGGATGGGACCGACATCAACGCGCTGGTGCGCTCCCACAACAGGAAGGTCATCGCCGTGGCCGACGACTTCTGCAAGGTCCACCTGTTCCAGTACCCCTGCTCCAAGGCCAAGGTGAGAGCCGGGTGCCAGGGGGACTCACGGGAGCACTTTGTTTGGGCCACACCCAGCGGTGCATTTCGCAGGATGTCCACGCCGTGCTGGGCACAGCACCGGCGGCCGGGCAGCGCACCAAGGAGGGGCCGGTTTCTGGCTGATGTTCAGGGAGGGTCCCCCCACCTCCTGGCTTCTCCCCACAGGCGCCCAGCCACAAGTACAGCGCCCACAGCAGTCACGTGACCAACGTCAGCTTCACCCACGACGACAGCCACCTCATCTCCACCGGCGGGAAGGACATGAGCATCATCCAGTGGCGGCTGGTGGAGAAGATGTCCCTGCCGCCCGGCGAGCCCGTCCCCGCCGACCCTCCCCCCGCCAGAGCCCCCGAGAGCCAGAGCCCCCCGCTGCCCGCCGCGCCCCTGAGCGAGGCCACCGAGGAGCCCCGCAGCTCCCCTGCCCCCCTGGAGAACAGCCTGGAGCTGCCCGCGGGGCCTGGCGAGGCCCCCAGTGAGGGGCAGAGCGAAGAGGGGAGCGAGGACCTGGTGGAGGAAGCCGGGTGCGAGGAGGCGCCGGGGGCAGCCACCGCCAGCCCAGACCCCGGGGAGCCGCGTCCGCTGCCCTGACCGCGCCGAGGCCAGGGACAGTTCGGAGAGCCAGGCCCAGGGGCTGGGCCGAGAAGACGGCCCCGACCCGCTCTCCGAAGTGACCACTGCGGGTGGTGTGAAGACTGGAACGGGCGCAGCTGCGTGACGTGAGGTGCCTGTGAACAGCCGGAGGCAGCCCCGCGGCCCCTGGGGTTCTCCGCCTGCCGCGCACCAGCCCCTCCCGGCGCCGCCGTGGCACTGAGAACACGGGGGTCTGCCGGCGAGCCGGGCTGTGGAGGAAGCCGGCGCTCACTCGATAACGGCCCGGACGGGCCTGGCTGCCAGGCCCCCCGGCCGTGTGCACGGAAGGGAAACCGACGCCTTTAAACCAGACCAGCGGCTCTTTGGGCAGCCTTCACTGTGATGTGTCCACTCAGTCATGAGAGATACACAGTGAGTTTAATGATTGGATCGGTGCTTGAAATCTGTCCTTTGTAATTTTTTTTTGTACAAATTTATCTTGAGGGATGAGATAGAAAATTGCAAGGCTTCTGTCGCCGTGTGGAGAACAGCCCGGTGACTGTCCCTACCAGACGGGCCACCTGCGCATTGTCCTCTGGCCCTGCGGCCCCTGAGCCTCCGCCCCAGCGTGGCCCCGCGCCGCCTGTGGGGGCCAGCGTTGGATTATGCATTGACTCGTTTAAGTCTTGTCTGACTCGTTTTTTTCTAAGTATGTGTTTCCTACTTTAAAAATTACTGAGAATAAGCATTTCTTATGTACTTGTTTATACTTTGATTATAAAAAAAAAAGTTTTGCCTTATTTTTTGACTTGCTGCATTGTTTTGATACCTTGTTTCCCGGGTTGAATCATTTTTAGAAACTTTGGATGAGTTCAGAAGTCTTAAGTATGCAAGAGTTTACGTGACTGTGTCATTCCAAAGTGCATCAGAACTGTCATTCCTTCTAGTATCTTCTCAGGAGTAATACAAATCAGGTAGTTCATCATCCTTTGGTAACCTACAGACTCCAGTGAGCCCCACGGACACCCACGACATTTGTACGCGCGGGTGGGGGTGTGCGAAGGGCGCGTGCAGACCCTCTGTCTGTGTGTCTCGAGTCCGAGACACACACTGAAATACTCAGTGTCTCTGTGTGTAGATAGATGTCCGCGTGTATCTTTCCTTTTGTTTACAGCTATTAAAAAAACAAAACCTCAAAGTAGTGCTCTTCCAAAGAGGCCGAGATTCCAAGAACCCCGTTTTCAGAATGTTCTGCACCCAAGTACCAGGTGGGCATGTGCTGCCCGCGAGCGTAGAGGGGTTGGGGGCGCAGCTGCCCACCTGTGGGGTTGCTGTGACGCTCCGGGCGGTCATTCCCAAGGACACTGCTGACTTGCAGAAGGCGCCCCGGTTCTCCACTGCGGCGGCGACTGTGAGTCCGTGAACCTGTGACCGCGGTTGGGAAGGGGCGGAACTGAGAAATGTCCGTGTCTTTAGAAAACTTGTGAATGAAAATGAACCCAAGTGTTTCCGTGTGAGGATGTTGAGCCATTTCTATTATGCATTCCTGTCTCATGGCAGAAAACGTTGATTAAAACACAACCAAAACGTCTCCTTGTGTGTCTGACTTCTTCCTTCCCCTACACCGTTACTTCGCGTGCTCAAGACCAGGGACAGGCGGCTGCACACAGACTGCCTGGAGGAGGTGATGTCTGCCAAGTTACTGCTTTTCCGGGGGCAGGAGGCGCTTCATTCACAGACCGGGTGAAGCCCACTGCCCCCCGGGCTCAGGCTGAGAGGCTGCAGCAGCCCGTCCCCTGGGCTGAGGGCCCACCCAGCTGCCAGGGAGGCCGTCCGCACTGTCACGGGAGGGGCACCGTGAGTTTCCAGGGCCAGCCAAGGCCAGATTTGCTTCCCTGGGGCAGGCTGGACCTGGTTCACATAACAGGGCTGGAAGGCAGCCGGGCGGGCCTTGAGAGACGGGGGCAGCGGTGCGGGAGTGGGCCCTTGTCTTGCGCATGGCCGACCCTCATTTGATCCCAAGGCCCCGCCAGGAGGAGCTACCAAGTACATCTCGGGGAGCAAAAGTGGCCGGGATGCCGAGGGACGCTGGCTGTCACAGGAACTCCTGCTCTGCAGGGGACAGGTGCTGGGCTTCCCGGAGGGGGCTTCTGTGTGGTGACCAGGTAGCCGGGATGAAGTGGGTGATCCCACACACACCTGAGGTCACACACCCCCGAGAGCCTGACGCCCACCCAGTGAGCTCACCAGGGAAGGGCAGTGGACAGGGGAGGAAGAGGTGCCCTCAACTGCTCTTGCTTCCGGCTGACCATGTCACCCAGTCCTGGGGGTCTTCAGGAAGGAGCCCAGCTACTGCAAGGCCTGTTGGTGGGAGGAAGGGACCCCCAGCTATGGGGCCTGGTCTCTGGGCAATGGCTGCCCCCAGCCTAGGGTGGTCCCACTTCACAGTGTGCGGGGTGCCGAGAGGAAGAGGTAATGATCATAAGCCTGACCCCTGCCCTCAGGAGTACGTGACTGATCAAGCAGACCCCACCACTATCTATCTGCAGCAGCTTTAGAAATTAGCTGCTGGTGTGTTCCCAGGTGCATATTACTGTGTCTGTTTCTGTGAGCATGTTCCTGTCTGCGTGGTGCAGTGTTTTCCCGGGAGCATATCCCCGTGCATATTCCTATGTGCCTGTTCCTATGAGCATGCTCCTGTCTGCATGGTGCGTGTGTGTGTGTGTGTGTGTGTGTGTGTGTTACGGCCTTACCTGGCAGCACTCGGGCCACTCCTAGAGGGGCTCCAATTTGCGTGGTGCAAGAGTGACACACTGTGTGTGTGTGTGTGTAAGGGCCTTCCTTACCTGGCAGCGCTCGGGTCACTGCTAGAGGGGCTCAAGGACTAGATGGGGTACCAGGAACTGAATCCAGGTCAGCCGATTCCCCTGTATCTCTCTGGCCACATTTCAGATTCAAGATGCAGATCGGGCTCTTGTCCTGAAACTGCTGTGGTGGGCGACCCTCGCACCCAGTCCTGATCCCCCCTCTCTAGTGCTCCAGAGCCAGCCACCGTGGGAAAAGATGGAGGGGGAGGGGTGCCCCACAGCCAACACCTGCAGCCCCCGCACACAGTGGCTGGAGCAACATTCTGCCACAGCCTGGGGACAGTGGACTCGGGTGTCAGCACACTTGGTTCTGAGCTACTGGGCAAGTCACTGGCAAGGACGTCAAACCTGAGGTTTTTCCATTCATGTATTTATTCCGCGATCAAAGCAAACCATCGTGGAGAGCCCTGGACACAGTCAAAGGCACGCATGGGCCCGTCACACCTCAGGCCACAACCCGCAGCAGTTTCAAGTGCAACCCCAGGGGGGCTCCGCTCCCACGGGACCGGCTGTGCAGTGACTCGGGTCCACACGGTGCCGGCGGCAGCTGCAGAAGCTTCTCGCACCCTCCTGGCGGTGCCAGGCCCGCACCTCGGCCCCCGTGTCCGCGTGGGGCCCGGCTGCAGCCAGGAGAGCGCGGCGGACAGGTGGCCGCTGGCCTTCCCCGGGTCCATCCTCCCGATCGCTGCGCCAGCCCGGGCAGGCCCAGAAGGTCCCGCTCAAGAACCGAGCATCGCCGGGGCTTCCTCCTTCCTGACACAGGGCAAGGCAGACGGTTCAGGTGGCAGAGACGACGTCGGGGCCGGGGGCCTGGGACCCGCCCCGCATCCCGGGGCCGGGGCCCGCTCGGCGCGGCCCGAAAGGAAGGAAAGGGGGCGGGCGGGGGGCTCCGAGAAGACCTGCGGCTGCGGGGGGCGCCTCCCGCGGGCGGCTCACTGGCTGCGGGGCCGCGAGGCCATGTAGAGGGCCACGAGGCAGTAGACGGTGCCGCCGGCCGTCAGCGCCAGCGTGGTCCGGTAGAGCATCCGGTCGGGCAGGCCCCGCTTGAGGTGCACGGGCGCGCCGTCGGCTCTCTGCGGGAGAGGGGGTGCTGGGGCGCCGGGGAGGGGCGCGGGCCGGCGGGGCGCCCGACCACCGCGAGGCCAAGCACGGGGCGCGGGAGCCCGCGGGGCGCGGGGGCCGGACCGGGTCACGCCCCGCCTCCCCCCCCCGGCCGCGCCTCCCCGGGACCCGCCCGCCCCGCGGGGCTCTGGCCAGCCCGAGGGCACCGGCCGCCGCGGCCCACGGCAGAGGGGCCGAGCCCGGCCGGGGCGCGGGGCCTCACCTGGAAGAGCCGCTGCAGCTCGGGCACCCGGTTCCGCGCCGCCGGCTCGTCCGCGGCGAGCGCCCGAGGGAACCTGGTCGGGGTCGCGAAGACGACGGGCGGCGCCTCCCGGGGGGCCGCGGGCCTCAGACCCTGCGGGGAGGCCGAGGTCAGCCGGGGCCGCGGGGGGCGCCGCGCACACGGGGCAAGGGGCGCGGGCGGGGAGCGGACGGGGGCGCACCTGGGGGCTGTAGGCGTCGGCGGCCCAGGCGCCCGCCAGCTTCTGCGTGAAGCCGCTGAACTTGTAGTACATGACGCCGCGACCCGCCGCCGAGCCCCGCGCGACCGCCCCGGCAGAGGCCCCCGCGCCCGCCGCGCCGCGCAGGCGCGAGCCGAGGCCCCGGGCCCGGGGCGGCCCGCGCGGCGCCTGCCTGAAAACGCGCCCGCCCCGGCCGAGGAAGCGCCGGGCTCCGGGCGGCCGGGGGGAGACCGGCCCCGGGGGGACGCAGGGAGGCGTCGGGCGCGGCTGCGCGCGGCTCCGGGGCGCGCTCGGCGCCGCCCGCCCCCGTTTCGGATCGGGCACGACGAGGACGCCCCGCGGGACGCGCACGCGCCCTGCGGACCCGGCCGGAGGCGACCGACTCGCCGGGAAAGGAGGACCGGCTGGGGGCAGGGCCACGGGGTCGTGGGCGGGGCTCCGCGGGGCTGGGCGGGGCCTGGGGCGGGGCTACGGGCGGGCGCCCAGCCTGTGGGCGGGGCTAGGGGCGGACTCTGGCGGCTGTGGGCGGGGCCGAGGGCGGACTCCGGCGGCTGTGGGCAGGACTATTGGCGGCTGTGGGCGGGCCCGATCGCTTGTGGGCGGGGCTCGGCTGGCTGTGGGCGGGACTATGAGCGGACTCCGGCGGCTGTGGGCGGGCTGTGGGCGGGACTATTGGAGGCTGTGGGCGGGGCCGATCGTTTGTGGGCGGGGCTGCGGGCGAGGCGGGGGCCCGACGGGGGTCCCTGGGGTGGGCTGAGCGCTCCCAAAGGTGCGTGACCCCTCCTGCGGATCCGCCCTTCACGTCTTAGGCTGAGGGAGCGTGTGTCCGCTCTCTTTCCCTCCCCACTCGTGCTCCCCGGGGCCGCGCCTCTCCGGCCAGGTGGGCTCGGTGGTGGGCTGCGAGTGTCCAGGTGCGCGTCTGCACAGCGCCCCAGCTGGCCACTTGCTTTGAAGATGCGACCCGGGAGTGCTCCCACTGCGTGGTCCGGGTGTTGTCCCTAGGCCTCGTCCGCTAACGGCCCTCCTGTGCGGAATCGTGGGCCTGCGGGGCTTGGGGGTTCAGGCCGGGGGCCGCACCCGGCAGTGCTCAGGGGTTACTCCTGGCGGGGCTTGGGGGTGCCCACTCTGCTGCCCGCACAGCTGCTGCAGTTTCTCAGACCGCTTCACTCTTACCCGACGTTTACGGGAAATGGTTGCACGTGGGGTCTGTGGCCTCTGTGCCCGGCTCCTGAGGCACGTGGCGGGGAGGGACCTCATCCTGCTGGACGCTTCTGGGCCTGCGCCCGGGAGGCCTCGTGTCCAGAGCTCTTCAGCCCACAGTGGCCGTCCGGCTCCCTCTGCGTGCAGAGCGGGCCGGGGTACCCTCTCTGCCAGGGACCCCGCAAAGATTTTCTTAGCGCGCAGCCTCCCAGAGGCTGCTTGGGAAGCGTGCGGGAGGGGTGGGCCACAGCAGCCAGCTCGGATGCAGTGCTCTGGGGGGGTGGGGGCAGCTCCCTGCATCGCCCTTCACCCGGCGCACCCGACACCCGGCTCAGGGCCCGTGTGGTCTGCACAGCCGGCACACGGGCAGGTTCAGCGAGCCACAGACCCAAGGCCCTGTGCCCGGGGCAGCTCATGGCAGGTGCAGAGAGCCAGGCCGTGGCCTCCAGAGCACGTTCTCCCAGGTGGAGTGGTCTGAGGTGGCCTCCCTGCCTCGCTCCCTCCCTCCATTCCTTCCCTTCCTCCCTCCCTCCCTTTCTTCCTCCCTCCCTTCCTTCATTCCTTCATTCTTCCCTCCCTCCCTTCCTCTCTCCCTCCATTCCTTCCCTCCTTCCTCTCTCCCTTCCTTCCTTCCTTTCTTCCTTCCCTCCCTCTGTTTAGTGGGTCACACCCAGCAGTGTTCAGGGCTTACTCCCGGCTGTGCTGGGGGGTTACTCCTGGCTCTGTGCTCAGGGAGCAGATGTGGCACTGGAGATGGGCCCAGGCTGCCCACGTGCGGGGCGGTGCTGTGCTGTCTCTCCACGCTCTTCCCTTCTCGGAGACCTTCTGGGACCTAGGACCCGCCCTGTCACCCTGGCCGTAGCCTCCACCCTCGTCCTGCCACGCAGACACTCAGTGGCACGTCCCACCCGAGGCCCTTCGCTCCCCACAGTGCTCGGGCCGCAGAGGAGCTCGGTGGACTCAGCCAGGCTAAGCTGAATGTTAATCAACTCACTGATGCCTGAGTGATAGGACCCAGCAGACCCGCCAGGGCAGGAAGCCGCCCAGGGGACGCTGAGAGAGATCCTGTGACCTGGTTGTGAATCTGCCCGCGTCTGTCTCCCTGCTGTGGAAGGGGGAGGCAGAATTCCTCCCTCCGCCTCGGGGGCAGCCGAGCTGCGCGGGTCCTGAGCACGCTCCTGCCGTCGGGCGCCGCTTGCTTTCTGTTCCACATCCTGCAAGACATAAATTAAGACTCCTGGAAGCGTTACAAGAGCCGGGCTGTTCAGTGGGAGACGAAATGTCAGAGCTGAGTGTGGGCTGGTGTCACGTGGCCCAGCTGATCGGAGACAGATTGTCTCCCCTCGTTTCCACTGACAGCCCACAGCGGGCTGAGCCGGCCGCACGTGGCTTCGGCTGGCCACGGGGAAACGCCCCTGAGCGGTCGTGCTGTGGCCCCGGCTTGGCCGAGGGCTCGGGAGGGATGGAGACCCGAGCGCCTGGCAGTGTGCCGGACCCCGGGCTGAAACAGCTCTCACCGGTGATCCCCTTGGGCGGTGTGCTGGGTGGGCCTGGCCGGTGTCGCTTGTGGAACCGGGTCTCCGTGAGGCCGCGGGGTCTCTCTCTCTGACCCCTCTCTGCCCTGCACAGGCTGGCCTGTGGGGGGGCTCCTCCAGGAGCCTGCTCGTGCCCCCCCCCACCCATTCACATTTCCCTGTAAAATCCGCCACCGCGGAGCCTTTTGAACCTGCTGCGACCGTGCCTGAGACTGGCCAGGGGGCAGGGGGCCGGGGGGGGAGCACAGGAATTCTTAGCACTACGGCTGCATCCCGTCCCCTCTCTTTGACAAAAGAAGGCAGGGATAAGACATGTCCCTGGCTGGACACTGGCCACACTCCCAGGAGGAAGCCCAGAGGCGTGGGTGGACGTGGTCACTCCCACCGCGGCTCCTGTCCTCACTGGGACTCCCCGCTGTCAGCGCTCGTGTCTTTGTGGTGGGGGGTCAGTTTGTCTTGGGACCTGGACGTGAGCTGCTCTGGCGTTACTGGGAAGCCCCCCCCCCCCCCAGCAGGACACGCCCGCTCGCCCCTCCCCTGCGGGCTCCCTCGCACCAAGCGTCAGGCACGTCTCAAAAGCGCAGCGCCGGGATTATGGATCCAACTCAGATTTGACACATCGCGTTTCATTTCGCTGGTTAAGAAAGGATGAGGTGTGACTCATAATTTATTTTAAATCATCTTAAAGACACTTAATTATGCACAGAGCAAGCTGTGACCCAGAGCAGCGCTCCTGCGCCCCTCTTCCCCTCCCTGCGGTGCCCTCGCGGCACTGGTGCCCATCTGGGCTGAGGGCCGGGTCCGGGCCGGGGCCGGTCCGGTCTGCCCGGCCCACCAGCCCCACATACCTGTTCCTGGGGAGCCCCATGTGAGCAGAAGCTTCGAGATGGGCTGGGCTTGCCTGCCCAGGAGGGCTGTCCAGCGGGGACAGTGTCAACCCCAGCACCCCACAGGAGTAACCCCTCAGCACTGCCCAGGGTGGGGACCCAAGGGGGCCTGGGACCCGGGGCCATCCTGGGCCTCCCAGCATTGCCGAGACAGGGGCCCGGAAGTCGAGTGACCCCCTCAGATGCTGAGAGCAGGGCTGGAGCGACGGGGCCCGAGGGGGGCGTCTGCAGCCCCTCTCCGTGGAGCCCAGGTGCAGGAGGCCAGGCCAGGTGCTGGGCAGACCTGCAGCCCTCATTCCGGCTCTCCGGGGTGCACGTGTGTCCATGCTGCGCTCTGCAGTCCAGCCTCACTTCCCGAGGCAGACAGCTGCCCATGCCGTGTCCACCAAAATGAAATGGAGGCGAGAACTGGGGGGGCCGTGACGGTGGGGTAGGGTGGGGCTTGGCCCCGCTCCCATCTCTGGCTGGAAAACTCTTTCCGGGTAGGACCTAGCAGGCCGCACGGGCATGTGGGGTGCAGCGGAGAGACAGAGGCTGTCCCCAGGACGCCACCCACGATCGCCCACCGTGAAGGGACGGCGTGGGGGAGGGCCTGGGACTCGTGGGGGGGGGGGGGCTGGCCCATGAGCAAGCCCCAGACTGTGCCTATGTCCCACCTGTGGCATGTCCGCGTGGCCACAGTGCCTCCAGGGAAGGCGTGTCCTGCACAGGACATGCTGACACGTGCACGTGGCCTGCCCCCACCCCCGCCTGGCACAGTGAGTCCCCAGCTGCTGTCCTCTGCCCGAGCAGCTGCCCCCGTGCCCAGCAGGCCTACAGTCCGGTCTCCCCGCAGCAGCTGGGGAGGGGCAGAGGGCGCAGGGGAGAGGGCAGGACCTTGGCTGCAGCTCCTGCCAGGAGCCTGGCGAGCAGCTTTGGAAAGGCATCAAGTGGGCGCAGCGCTGCCAGGCCCGGGGGTGGCACAGGGAGCCTGGAGCAGCCTGGTTCCGGTGGGTCGTCACTGTCCCTTCGAGGTGCCGACAGCCCCCACAGAGAAGGAAGGGCAGGGGTGGGCGGGCTTCGGGGGAGGGGCAGCTCCCGGGAGGACTCACCCGCCCTGGCACAGAGAGCATCGCTCCTGGCACCGGCACTGCACAGGTCCCCTCAGAAGCAGCAGGGTCTGAGGCCATGGCGGGGCGGGCGGGACGCGGGCTGGTCAGGAGCGGGGCCTCGTGGGGACACCCGGCCACGCCCTAGCGCACTCGCCGGCAGCGGGCAGCTCTGTCTTTTTCTGGAAACACAGCGTGGGCACCTGTCCGCCGCTCCCTGCGAGGCCGGCACCCTCCCCACCAGCACCCACCCCAACCAGGTGTGTGCCCCAGCAGTGGCGACCACCCTGCCAGCGAGATCACAGTGATGACGAAGACGAAAATGATGGTGACAACGATGAAGACGAAGTTGAGGCTGGTGGCGGCCACGACAGTGAC